TCCTTAAAGAACACCTTGATTATTGCCATGTCTGCTAGTTATTTTCTTCAATTTAGCTTCCAGCTGCATATTTTTAGGCTGATTATACTGAGCTTAGCATTGTTTGTGAATTGTGAAAGTACTTGAGCTTCTTGATGTTTGCATAGCTGAATAGGTGTAGCGTCGAGCTAGTGTGCTTAATGAATGGTGTTGAAGCCTTGCATATAATTAACCTACCCTTGCATACCAAAAGTCTTGCATACCATTTTGGGTGTGGGATAGGGAGAATGGGACCATTATTACTGAGAAAAAATTGAGGAAAGAAAGCTTTTTGTTTGAATCTGATCTAGCTTTGAGAAGTTGCTTCTTCAGTAAAGCTTTATAGGGCTAGGGTGTGCTGTTAGTATAATAAATGTTTGTGCCAAGTCACAGAAATTAAGGCAACACCACTAGTCACCACTGGTTCACTAAGAATGATGGAAGCACATAGGCATCAAATGCAAAGTTATATGCCAAATAGATTAGGTCAGCACCACCACTTACCACTGGTCCACTAAAAAAATGAAAAATGGATCATTCCACGCCAACTGTCACAACCTTGGCAGTCGACCATCTGCAATTTATTTGAAAAAAAATTCAGAACTATTTACCTGAAGCTAAAAGTGTTTTCCCAAAACACTTTTTGCGAAAAGAATTTTCAAGTACTGCAAGCCTCGTGTGAATTTTTTCGGAAAACTCGCAATCGTAGCTCGTAGAACAAGTCGAAATTTTTTTTTTATTCCTGAATTAGGTCAAGACAAATTTTTCACCTTTAAAACAATGGTAGGCGTTCTAGTTAAAACAAGTTTTGCAAGTTTTTATGCCTTCGTGGATTTTTCGTGGTCTGAAATATGGAGAATATAGTCCATATTAAAGATTTTTTTTTCATGAAAAGACATTAGGCAAAATGTCAGAGTTGACATTGTCATATTTGCAGAATGTCTTACTGTTTTACCAAAAATAGTTTGTCGTATACAACGCAAAATAAAGTTTACAGGTGGTTACAAAGTTGCAGAACTATTCATTCTTGCACATGTACGGCCATGAATTCAACATTGAGGCGGTCCTACTATAAATGTGGCCAATAGTAGATTTAGGAGCAACCTTCACTGGCTACTCACTCGGAAAGATTTACCAAAATAATTTTCGTTTTAAGCAAGAAAAATATTTTTGAACTTGTGTGTTATCGCTCTCAGCCTTTGGACCTGTCTGTAGCCGTAACAATGCTTCCTAGCAGTAAGTACAAGCTGCATGGACGTAGGGATCATCTGCACAACGTAATCAACTTTGTCAGTGCTTATTTAAATTATTTACAAGCTAGTATTGCCTTTAGTGCAGAAGAAACTTGAGACCTACTTACTGACTGGCATCTGGCCTCATGTACCTGTTTGCTGGCAGCCTGCGTAGTATGCTTACGCAGAACTGGGAAGTGGTATTGATGTGTGCAACACACCGCTACCTATATGCTAACATTTAGAAGTAGGAAGAGCACTACGATGTTTAAAAATAAAGGTTTGCATCGCGGACAGGTTGCAGTTAGGACCAACACAATCGTATATAATTGACCATTTGGCTTAAGTGACCTTACGTTGGTGCATAACTGCAACTTAACTGCTGACCAGCATATCCCCTTTTTTTTGTTTCTTTTCACTTCAATTGATCCTTTTCTTCATCCCGCTCTTCCTACTTCTAAATATTAGCATATAGGTAGCGGTGTGTTGCACACGTCGGTACCACTTCGCGATGCTGCGTAAGCATACTACGCAGGCTGCTAACGGACAGCTGTATGTGGTTAAATACACTCGGTAAGTAGGTCTTGCGTTTTTTGTTCACTGAGGGTAATACTAGCTCGTAAATAATTTAAATAAGTACGGGCAAAGTTGATTACTTTGTCCAGATGATCCCCCATCCGTGCAGCTTGTATCTACCGCTAGGACGCATTGTTATAGCGTATAAACACATGCGAACCTCGAGAGCGGTCACATACAAATTAGAAAATGTCTTTCTCGCTTGGAGCAAAAATTAATTTGATTAAACTTTCTGAGTGAGTTGCCAATGAAGCTTGCTACTAAATCTGTTATTGAGCATATTTTTTGTAGGACCACCTCGATGTTGAATTCACTGCCAAACATGTGCATAAATGAACATTTTCGCAACTTTGTCTCCATCTGTAAACTTTATTTTGTGCTGTATATGCCTGAAAGTACTTTTGGTCTGCTGTGAAATATTCTAAGAATATGCTAATGTCAACTATCACATTTATCCTAATGTTGTCTTTCTATGAAGAAATCCCCAATGTGGACCATATTCTCAATATTCGAGGCCACATAAAAAATCCACGCAAGTGTAAAAGCTCGTAAAACTTACTTTAACTGAAGTGGCTACCATTGTTCTAAAGGTATAAATTTGCCTTAACCTAATTTAGGAAGAACAGATTTTTCGACATATTTTACAAGCTATGAGATTTTGAGATTTTCGAAAAAATTCACATGAGGCTTGCGGTACGGCAAAATTTTTTTTGTAAAAAAAATGTCTTGGGGAACACTTTTGGCTTTAGGTAGATGTTTCTGAATTTTTTTTTTCACGTAAATTGCAGATGGGCGAGCACCAAGGTTGGGACAGTTAGCACAATTGGTGTTTGCCACCAATTTGAAGGCACGTGTGGCAAACATATATTGTGATCGTTATGACAAGACTACACATGTTGTGAAACAAAATGGAACACAAAAATGCAAGTACCATCTTATTAAAATGGAAAACTTTATAAAGGAGCATGTGCTATCTTCAGGAGATGCTTTCTCGACAAATATTTCGGATTTAGTTACAGAGTGTTATCTGAAATTTATTGTCACACATGTCTTCTGCTGTACAGCTTTGCTGGTCATACGCGCCTGAATCGTCCTTGATTTCTAGGCAGTAGCCATGTGGTGCATTCATGTATTGCTTCATTGCTGATGGCGTTAATGTTGACAGTCATCTTGAGATTTAGAGCTGTTTTCAAGTGCCCATTTACGAATCTGGCATAGTTGAATGAATGGAGCTAATAAATATTGAATTCTTAAAGGGCCAGCAAACAACCTTGTGGCCCGAAATTACTAATGGAGAAATAACTGCGCACTTGTGCAGTGTGAATATGGTGCCGCAAGAACATTATGAATAAGTGCTGTAATGAGGAAGTTACAGGGCTTAAAACGACCCATGTGTGCTGGTTTTGGTTTTTCACCTGTCCTCCCCACCATTTTCAAAGCCCAGTGGAGAGGAGTAGGCGTAGCCCTTAGTTGTGACTATGCCCACTTTGTCAACGTCACAACACCAGCGATAAGTCATTGGCGCGCAGCCAAGAACCGAGCATGGCTTCGACCTCGTCGGCATGTGTTATAGTGGCGTGTGGATCAAATGCGGTGTGAGGAAAAGCATCTTTTCCCTAGCGGTAAACAAGCGGACGGAGCCGGTTTACTGGTCTCTTAAAACGACACTATTTAGGAAGGCTTGTTCAAAAAATTTCTTGATGGCAAACACTCCAGGACGACATCAGAAACTTTGTGTTTAGGAAAGGTCAGACCTTGCAAAAATTTAGTGCCAAACGTGACAGATATCCAGTGTGTCTTGCTGGTCATGGGATGGGGCCTCTGCTGGGGTTGTTTATTCACCTATCAAAAAGCCGCTTGTCCTATCTACTAGCATGTGGGTCTGTCAAAATATCCATAAAAGTTTTAGTATGTCATAAGTTAGGGAACTGTTTGCTTTGAAATGCTTTTCCTCAGCCCAGCATGATTTCATAACGCCTAGACAGCTGCATCGAAATTTCGTGGTAAGAAGTATTGGAAGCTCTGAGTAATTTTTTTATGCCTTTATGACATTCCAGCCGTGTATTCTCACATGGGACTATGTCTTGAAGTGCATTTACACTAGAGCGACACAACATAGATGCATTCGATTGGCTGACGAATTGCCTGCCGATGATGTCACCAGACTATCTGGTCAAACTAGGCCTACGATGACGATTATGCTCAAACTAGGCCTACGATGACGATTATGCCTTTAAAGGCAGCATGTCGTCGTAATGTAATGTAATGGTAGACTGGAAACACCAGCAAAGCGCATTGGTAGACTTGTCATTAGGTCATCAGGAGATCGGTGGCCGAGCGAAAATTTGTCCGTGTCGTTAATTCTAAGGAGGAATGGGCACAAGGGGGAGACAAGGAGGCCCCACACGAGAGAACCAAAGGTCTTAAAAATCACCTTGCGTACTGAATAGACGTCTTTTCCTCACTTCTTTTTTGTTTGCCCCATCTCCATCTCTTGACGCCGTCTCACCTGTGTTACTGTAAAGGGCATGAAGAGGTTTCACACTTTTGTTACCTCAGTATGTTGTGTCTTATGCTGCATATCAACAACACAAAACCTCTGGTGCGTGAGAAACGGGTGCACAGTCGCAAGTAGCCAGGTTGCGGTGTCTAGTTAAGTCTCTTTCAATAGCTACTGACGATAGCTGGCAAAGGGAAACTTTTATTACATGGTTTGCTTAGCACCAGGAAGTGAGCCCCCTTGCATTTTTTCTGAAAATGTCTGCACATATTATGTCTTTTGTTGTACAGTCAGCGTTTACTAATCCCTTACCACCTGTATGTATGGAAAATAAAATGGTGCCAATACTCTAGTATTATTTACTTCAAGCAATAATTTTTCTTATCAGTAGTCTTTTATGATAAATGGACTTTCCCAAGGTCCTTCTGTGTCTCAGGATGGTGTGTCTCCATGAATTCCTAGTAAATATCGCCAAGCTTTGAAACCACTTATATAATATATAGATGCTGGCATCACCGGCACCTTGATCCTTGTGTAGTGTGCTGCGCGAATGAGTGCACTAACTAAGCCATGCTATGGGCTGTAGCCTTTTAAGGTTCCATTTGCACGTGCATGCCATCTAGCAAATTGGGTCATCTTATAGCTCTGATTTTGAATACTCTTCTGCTCTTTAGGAATGGAAAACTAGGGGCCCCTGTGCCAGCCCGCCTGTACACTAGCCCGGCAACTCTCGTGGACGGGTCGCTCGTTGGAGGCCGCAAGGAGCAACGGCGACAGCGTCGGGCCGCCCTGTCGCTACCTTCTGAAGGAAAGCTGCGCTTTGCCGACAGGCTGCGGGCCTTGCTCAAGCGTGAGAATCACCAGTCACCCCAGCCCGGAGGCGCACCCCATGACCCCTATGACTTTTCAGAAGCCCCTTCCTCCGGTTGTGTGGCAGCGGCGGCTGCCCCATCGGTGCGGCAAATTCCTGTCTCTGCCCCACTCGCCACTGGCGTATCCTTGCCTGTCGTGTCAGAAGCGCAGCGGGCGGTCGAAAATGGCAGCCTCGGGCGGCAAAGCTGTGATCTGCCCCTCAACCACAGGAGCATCCAGCCCCAGGCAAAAATCTTGCCCAAGGAAGTTCCACCCGTCCACCAAACGCAGCAACTCCAGCGGGTGCCCATTGTCTCCCAGCCGTTGTCGTCTGTGTCCTTTGCCAAGGGAACCACTGTGTTTGGCTTGGCAGAAGTTAAGCCAAAGATTGTTGCCACAAGTAGCGGTGGCACGTCAGTCGTGTGCAGCAGTGGCACTGGGACCAGTGCCGCTTCTGGAGGCCCAGCCAAGCTGTCAAAGACTATGAACCGGCTGCAGGCCAAAATTGCACAGAATCGAGTGCTGGACAAGCTCAAGCGCGCGCAGCAGGACACTGGTGGGCACGTGTTGAGCCCTTCTAGTCACAATCACAATCACCGGGTAATGGTGTCATCTTCGGCATCATCAGTTTCATCGTCACTGCTCGCTGGAGCAGTGTTTGGGCATGACAGGCACGAAGTTGCCAAAGCAGGTGTGTTAGCAAGGCCGCGGGAGAGGCCTGGACGGGACAGGCGTGTCAAGGTGGTGCCCGTGGCCACGGCGCCTACGGCAGCAACCACTGATTTGGCAACCACTCCTGCTGCTGCTTTGAGCAATCTGCGGCGTTTCTGGAATGCGGAGAAAAATTCTGGGACGGAGGAGGTGGAGGCGGCAGCCGCTGCTAGTGGAAGTGGTGGTGGTGGCAGTGGTGGGGCTGTCGGAGGCTGTGGCATTCACCAACTCCCCGGTGCGGGTATCCAAGGAGGTGCAGGTGAGAAGCGTGTCTTAATTAATCTGGATATATGTGAAAAGTGTGTAGGTAGACATGTACTGGTTGTTTTTATCTATCGACTGATGACCTTTCATGATGAATATTGAACATGTGTATTGACAAATATTTAAAAAAAGCTGCCATGAAACCACTTCGCTTTCAAATATTAGGTAGTCATCTGACTTGCCATATAAATAAATGTTTCATATATTTCTGGTATAAAAATGAGTGATTGGAGTGTGTAGTGGTTTGTCCTTGTAGCTTTTTTGAGCCACCGACAATCGCATCTAACCTTCACCACTAAGTAAAGTTGAAGCTGCTGTTTGTATTGTTGTGGTGACGATCAGAGCATGAGTTTCTCCTTTTGTTGCTGCAACAGGTTCGAATTTTTTGTGATGGCTTGAACATATTTTCAATCTCTTCTCTCAGCACATAAGATTAATCTGTTTTTTTTTTTCTGTTTAGCTTTTTTCCGTTTAGCCGTTGCTCTGCTCGTACTAAGTTTGGCAAGCACTGCATGGTTGCTGACTGTACCTTGTTATGTCAAAACCCTTGCTTTTTGAACTTTTAGCTTGATACACAGACTCATTGCAAGTAGTTTAGGGCCAAACTGTTTGTGACTGTATATGCAGCGCTAAGATGTGCTTGCTTTGTGTGCTGCAGTGTAAATGAATGTGAGCAGACTAAATGTACTCAACAAGGCGTGGGTGTGACAGATCGCAAAAAAGAAAAGAAAAATGCGTTACAGCAGGTAATGACAAATACAAGGAATGCGGAAGTTGTGCCACAATAGAGGTGCCAATCTACCTTGTACTTTAAGGCTTCAGGTATTGAACAACATCAGGCACTTCTAGAAGTGTCTTGTATGCTTGAGGCAATGAATAAAAAAAACTGTCACATTTCTACTGTCAGGTCAATTTTTTATTTTTATTTATTTTACCCTCAGGGCCAAATGGCAATACAGAGAGGGATGGGTTTTTTTCAAAGATGTAGATGAATAAAAAGCAGTGAATACAGTTAGATCGTACAAATAAATCTCTTAAAAGTACAATGTCTTCTAATACACTATATAATAATACATGTTAGGTAATACAACACCGAACATAATTATGCAATGTTAGCTATTGCAACAAAAAGAACTTATTACACAATGTTAGCTAATGAAACACAGAACAAGTTATCGCTAATAGCAACAATGTCACCGGGGAGTCTGTTCCACTCCTTTGATGAGCAAGGCAAAAATTAATTGAAGAAAGCTTTGTGTTACATGAAGGGATGCCTACTTTGCGATGGTGGTCAATGTGGCGGGATATGTTCTGTGGGCGAAGTAGTAGTTGGTCATGCAAGATGTGATGATGGTATATCTTGTGAAATAGTGTTAAACGGAAGACTTTTCTGCGATGTGCTAAGGAAGGGAGTGCAAGAAAAGTTTTCATGGTTGAAATGATCGCGGTTGTGTTATAATTTGACAATATAAAACGAACGGAGTTATTCTAAACACGTTCAAGGGAAGTTACCAAATTATTATAGGCAGGGTCCCATACGGCTGTAGCATATTCTAGTTTAGGGTGCATTAGTGTTTTATAACGCTGCAGTTTTAAACCATATGGAGCGTTAAAAAAGTTGTGTCGTAAATAGCCAAGCATGCGGTTAGCATTGTTAATAATAACAATATTAATAATGTTAATATAAGGTGACCATGATAATAAGGGTTGCAGCGCGAGCACGAATGTGCTAGAAGAAACAGACGAAAGTCGAGATACGGAAGGCAAAGAGGACAACACGAGCGCTGCGTCCTCTTTGCCTTCCGTACCTTGACTTTCGTCTGTTTCTTCTAGCACATTCGTGCTCGCGCTGCAACCCTTATTATCATGAATTCAAACCAACTAGCCCAAATCGCCATTCTTCTTCAATGCATAAGGTGACCAGTTGAGATTAGTTATGTGAACTCCAAGATTCTTATAACAGTTAACAGAATCCAAAGGAATGTTATTAAGATAGTAATCAGGTGAAGTAAACAGGTGAAGTAGTACAAGTTCTTGATACACGCATGATTTTACACTTTTTAATGTTTAGGTCCATTAGCCATTTTTGCACCATTTAGCTATAGCATTAAGGTCAGACTGCAATATATTAATGTGATTATCGCTAGTAATTTCTCAAAAAATAACACAGCTGCCAGCAAATAGATAAATGTTAGATGATATAACAGATGACAGGTCATTAATATAAATGAGGAACAACAGGGGGCCTAAGACAAACCCTTGCGGAACACCAGAATGAACTTAGCGAGAAGAAGAATTATGACCGTTTGTAATAATGAATTGTGATCTGTTAGTGAAAAAGCATTCAATTCACATTAGTAGGTTACTGTCAAGATTTACTGGTGTAGCTTGTAAAGTAGCAGGCTATGGCAAACCTCGTCAAAAGCTTTTGAAAAGTCTAGAAAAATAGAGTCAGCATGGGATGATTTATCAAAAGTCTGATGTAAGCGATGAGTGAATGATATTAGCTGTGTTTCACATGGATATGTTTTATGGAAGCCATGTTGTGCTGACGTGAAAAATGAATTTGATTCTAAAAAATTGACTATGTTTGTAACTATTATATGCTCGAGCATCTTACGGGGAAGCTTTTGATAAAAGAATCGTTAAGAACAGCAGCGCAATGGGCTTCACTAATTTTGTTACTGGATGAGTCAATCAAGGAAATAAGGGGCGTTAATAACTCGCCAGAATATTTTTGCATTATTTTGTAACATAGACTGCAAAACTAGAGTAAGGAAGTTGTCTTTAGCGGATTTCAGTGCCGATGGATGATGCAGATTTACAGGCAGCCCAGCGTGGGTGGCAAATAGATAAACATCTTGCTGCACGCTAAAAATGTTTCTTTTGGTTAGATAAGCGTTTGATGTAAGCCTTGTGCCATGGCGCACGCACATTAGATGTGATGGTACGGCAAGGGATATACTTATTGGTTAGTCGTTCAACTTTAGCTGCAAACATATCCCTGTTAGACTGCACTGAACGTGTATCAAAACTGCTTAAAAATTTATCAAGAAAAGTTGCTAGTTGACTGTTAATCCTGTCAAAGTTTGCTTCTTTATAGTCCCGTACCGTTTTCTTTTTTCATTATCTCTATTAGGACAGTGTGCATTAAATGAAAATAAAAATAATGAATGATCATAGATGCCTGGTGCATAGGTAACAAAATCTGGTCGGTTTTTTAATATCAGGTCATGAATGCTGGCACTGCGAGTAGTTGGCCCTTGTCTGTAATGCTACTACTTGTGTCAGGGAAAACATTGAACATGGGTTAATAAATTCACTTGGTTGTGCCGAAGATGGTAATGAGTAGGGTGCGTCTGCATTCTATATTATACTAGGGAAGTTAAAGTGACTTATATCTGTGCAAAGACCGCTGCTCTCGTGCCCACTCAATTTGTCATTTCTGGGGAATGTTGCTCAACTTATTTGTGCCTTGCAAAATGAATTGTGTGCAGTTAAACCAGCGTACTTACTTGAAAGTCATTTTGCACTCAAGTTTCTCTTCCTCGGCTCTTGCATGTCAAATTCAGATTTCTTATAGGCTTAACAAACCATGTGCCATCAGGAAACGCATTATATGTATGTGCAAAATAAGATATAATGCCTCCATTTTGTTTAGTATGAAGTATTAAGATATGTACTGATGTCAGTGAAAGTGCAGTTTTGTTATGTACACAGACATCAACATTAACATTCCATACTGCTAAAAAGCAGTATGGTATGTTAATGTTGATGCCTGTGTACATAACAAAACTGCACTTTCACTTGTAAAGAATTGTCATTTGAACTGGCTAGGCATGATAAAATGTATCTACTTGAAGGGCTTGGTTTCGTCAAGAATATAAGCCTTCATATTCTTGCCATCGACTGCACTGGATCAGAGCAACAGCTCTGGCTGTTTGCAGTGGACTGTGCATTATTCAAGATATTTCAGTGCGCATCAAACTTCATGTGCTCACTTGGCCTGGTTGGATGTCTGTCGACATCATCGTTTACAAATGAGGCAAAAGCTGTAGAAATGCCACTACTGGTGCATTGCAGATCTGGACAGCTCAGATAGCGATTCCAGTGAAGATGAAGATGTTGCTGGAGATCGAGCGCCTTCTTTATGGAACTGGGACCTTGATTGCAGGTAAGCATTGAAGTGGCTTGTATGTTGTCTCGCCATTTTGCCGTAAGCTATGAGTGCACTTGTTCGCTTCTTTTCTATTCTTCCCCCTTTTCAGTGAAGTGTGCTTGGAAGTAAGTAGCCTTGGTTCTCTTTTGTTGGTGGTTCAGTGGAAATCATATGCTGGTTTTGTGTGCACAGCAATGGGAAAGTTCATCTTGTTCTTATTTTTTTAAGAAATGCTGTTCATTGTATGTACTGTGGTAGTTTTTAAGAAAGCTTTGGTTTTCTCTCATTTAAGAGGTACCGTCTCATAATAGATATTGTGTAAAATTAGGCTTCCATAACAGACCCACATTGCTTTCTTTTTCTGAGAGGTTTTCAACTGTTTTGGGGGATTGTTCATTATAGAGGGAGGATAAACGGTGAGATTTTTAATGTGAATGTTCATGTCTTGATATAAATAATAAATCAATCATTAATACTTACCTTATTAGTACCAAAAGCATGCGAGTAATGCATGCTCGGCGGACTCTCATGATTTTTCTAGAAGACTCTAGAGTGTCGAGCATTCCTCCCAATTGTACAAGCCAGGCAATGAATCTCCAGAATAGCAGTCTTAACCCTGCTGCAAAAATAAATAAAAGACAGTGGTTAAAAAATTTTCTTGTCTTGGTCTGTTGTGTGCTGTGTGCTTGCTAAATCACTTTCACCTTAGTACATGCTGTAGTTAGTGATATCACTAACATCTTGAGAATCTTTCATACCTGTCCATGATGTTGCTGTAGTTATGAGAAGCAATGAATGAAAACATATGCCACTTTTTTTTTTGTCATGTCCCCACTTTCATTGGTCATGTAATTATTGTTGCTTTTCAGCGTACATTTCCAGTTCTTTGTTTTCAAACAGAAGGACAAGTAAGCATTGGCACACTATTTCATGAAACTGCCTCTCATGTTCTTGCATACAGGCATGATAGTTTGATAAAGAAAGGTTAAGATGAGATGCCAGGCATTTGCTTGTTTAGACTGGTTTATACATCACAGCATTGTATAATCAATGATGTTTTTGTTACTTTCTAGAAGAACAGATCGTTGAAGTAAAATTGTTGGCTTCCTTGCTCTGTTCCAGAATAGTATTGAGGTCAGATGTTCATAGTCTAACATCCCTCCTAGTATGTAACTTGTTCATTTAAAAAGGATGTGGTCTTTGTTAAGTACTACAGTTGAACCCCATTATAACAGACATGTATATAACAGACAAATGGGTATAAGAGACACATACGTGCCTACTTCGAAATAGGAGCTGATGAAAAATATTTATACAAGACGAGAATTGCTTCCTGGTACACATCTCTCATAAAATTATGAGTTCAACTGTATTTGGTGGGTGATCTGGATACAAACTTAAAAAAATGCAAATGCTTAGGGCTGGTGATATCTGTTATCTCTTTTGTGAAGAATAACTGCAATGTTGTGCAGCTTAATAAAGGAACAACAACAACAAAACAAAAGACTAAAGAGCTCTAGAAAAAATGAATGTGTGAGCTTATCCTGGCAAAGTATTCTCAAAACGGGGATCATCAGAGTGTTTTGATCATCAGGCACAAAATATGTGAGGTATATATCAGAACGTTTTGTTAGGGTAGTTTATTTGAAAAAATAACACAGACTCGAGTACGAACAGGTACGAGCCAGGTTAACTAGTCACTAGTTGTTCCATATACCTACCTGTCTGTCCTTGTGCGGTTTTATGCTACGATTGTTTCTGTTGAGGTACCTATTTGTTTGATTTCGTATGTCAAGTGATAATGCAGTGAAATAGGGAGCTGCTTTTACTATGTCTGAGTTTGGCAGTATTAACAGTGGATGTTTCATATGTGCAGTGACGCTTCAACGGTGCGGAGTGTGCGTTCCCTTCGCATCAGCCGGCTGCGCGCAGAGCTGCGCAAGCGCTACGAGCTCCTGTGCAAGCGTTACGCAGCAGCACGGCCTGCGCTGGAAAGGCAGGATGCCCTGGTCCGTCACATGGCACGTGCAGCGGAGCTCTGTCCGGACGCCGCTGCCCGGTTTCTCATGAATGATGGTTCCACTAACAACACGTCGAGGTGAGCAGACCATAGAAGCACCCGATTCCACACAGGGGCATTGATTCAGTGCTGTGGTGGTGCATTATAGTCGACGTCCAATTTCCCAGACCCTCAAAGGACCGCGAAGACGTTTGGAAAAATGAATTTAAGCGAAAAAACACTTTTTAATGGACATTTTTAGCTAAAAAAGTCAGTCGCAACAGGAGTACAGTATTCTCATTGCAATTCAGCAATTAAATCATTTAGTTGGCTCTGAAAAGAGCCAAAAGAAATCCAATGTGGCCAGCGCTATGATATTTATGAACCCTTGGGCTCAAGAAAAAGAAAGAGTGTTATTTTCATTTGCACGGCGTTTCACTTGCCCACGATGATGTCTGTTTCAATTTCAGTCAACTCCGAGCTCGTTGGCTGTGTAGGCGCTGCCTCTTTGATCTTGTCTGTGTCGTCAGAATCCTCCGTAACTTGGCGAATGATCTCATCATTGGTCAATTCTGCACAAAGCTCAATGTCTTTGTAAGCATCGGCGAAGCCCTCAGGGGCGCTATACCGGCTGGAATCAACACAACAGCAACGTGCAGATCATCGAAGACAACGTTCGTGGGTGGAAGTTCATCGCATACGCTGTCCTCTCCGGGTGAGGTGGCTGTCTTGGCGTGCAGTATGAAGCTTGCGTGGCGAAAACAGTTCCGGAGGGTGTCTGTTGCATAACCGCCCTCCATGAGTCTGCAAGCATGTCGATGGCAGACCAAAGGTCAACAGCGTAGCTTTTACCACTGCACAGCACCATGCAGCCTAAGCTACGGCAGGAGGCTGCGGCTGGCAACGGATTAACGCGCACTGGATTGTGGCATTTTCGGTTTCGGGGTTATGGCATTCGCGGCGCAGTAGTTTCGAAGGTCTGAAAATAACCAAAATGGTGGCATCTATAGTGACTTCGAGTCAGCGGTTAGCGGCACAAAGTCGGGAAAAATCGGTTGGCAACAGCTATAAATGTCCGGAATTTCTGACTTTTTAGTACATTGATGGGGTACTTGACAGTGCCACAAAGATGAGTCGGGGGGGGGGGGGGGGGGGGAATCAGGCATGTCCGAAATTCCAGGCGTCTGAGAAATCCGACATTGACTGTATTGTGTATGCAACTCCACAGATTTTATTTCCATAGAATCGAGGGGTGATAGGAAGATTTCTAGTTTACAGCTGCATCAACATGCCAAGTGAAAAAGCATCAAGAAAGGGAAAGTAGTGGTGTGGATTGACTAGCAGGGAGAGAAGACTTACCATATTTATGCCAGAAATTGTCAAGCCTTCTTCCTTTAAAATTTACGTACACTTGAGGTGTGTGATTGTTTCGCAGTGAAAATTTAAGAACAATTTGGATTGCTGTGAATGCAGGTAAGTTGGAGGTTGGAATTTTTACGTTGCCTATCGTGACTATAAGGAGTTAGTTAGGTTCTACAGGGTACACGGCTTACCTTGGTAATAAATGTACACATTGGCTTCTTTTTGCCTGAATAGCTTTACGAAAAGCTTTAAAGTGGTTGATATCCTTTGAAGCCACTCATTGAGTCATCTACGATTCCTTAGCTCCATTCAAACAGCATCCCTTCTCTTATACAGTGGGTGTGCAGGAAAATAGAGAATAGGGGCAAAAAAATTCTATGGAAAGGTCAGTGGGACAAATTTTGTGATGTATGCAGATTTTCGGTGGGCTGTTGCCAGGATTATTTGAGTGCTGCTGCTCTCGGCAGAGTGCTTGCCTACTACACGTGGTTGAAAACTTGGTTGATCTACCGTTATTCAGTTGGATAGCTTCATGATCGTTAGCCCTGGTATGTGGAGGCTCAGTTTTGAGAAGCTTGGAATGGGAATCGCATATGGTAAGCGAAGCACTGCCCTTATGGGGAGATGCGGTTCGAAAAGTAGCGGTTTTCCGAAAAATTTTCGTTTTTTTTTCTTTTCCAGTTGTATTGGCATTCTTTTACTTCTGAAATTATCAAGCTGAAATTCGTGCAAGAAGTTATCTAAAAATGCTTCCAAGTGGGGAGCGGTGACGTCAGAAATGCGCGAGTCGCCAAAATGGCCTAGTTTGCATTGTCCTGTCGCGAAAACAACGCGCTAGCCGCCATTTGCAATCGTGCACGCATGCTGCGAAAGCCTTCACAATTCACGAGTAGCCAGTCTCGTATCTTCGTGGAGAATTAAAAAAAAACAAGAAAAACAATGCATAAGTGAGTCCCTTGAATATCGCAGAGTTGTTCGGCATTTCTCTGCAGTTTTGCGTCATGGCAAGCCCCCAAAAAGTGCAGTCTAGGTAATCGGAAGTTCAGAACTCGCCCCAAGTATCGAGGGAAACGGCGTCGGACGCTTGCCAAAGCAACGGCGAACGCCGATGTCACTGCCAACCAACGCCCCGACGCTCGAATATTGGATAGGCCTAACACTGACACCGAACCCCGCGACAGTGGTTGTGGAATAGTCGCTGCCGTGATATTCGTCAGTGCATCCCAAATGAAGAGCGAATTCTTCGAGAGTGAACGTAGAGCAGTAGGTGCTGCTACTGCCAACACGCTGCTTTGCGAAATCGATACGCTGGCTGCCCTTGTGGCGTGTGCGCAATGCCCAACCTGCCGCGAATGGAAATTCGGTGTCCGAGAGGTAGCTGGAAAGTGCAAAGGGCTTTCGGCATTCCTCTAACTGTGCTGCGAAAACACTGATTGCCCTGAATCTACACTTTCATTCACGCACGCGTCAAGACGTACTACTTCGGCCAGGGACCAGGGGACGAGCGCTCGTTTCAACAGCGGCAGCTGGTGTGACATAGCTTTGCTGTAAATGTCAAGGCAGTTGTAGCGCAGGCCATGACCAACATTCACGATTCTGTGCGATTCTCGGTCTTCCAAGCATTTAGTGCAAGCTGCTGTTCATCGTGCCCCAACTTTGTGTAAAAATTGGTTTCCTAATAAATGCCAACTTTCCAAACTTTCAAACTTGTTTTCTTTTTTTCATTTTTTTTACAAATTCACATTTTCCGGGCAGCATTTTCGACACCCATAAGCAAGGAAACTTGGCAAACATATTCAATACATACTGAATGCAAATATCTACTTGAAATTGCAATGCCTACCAGCATTAGTTGTGAAAATATTAGGTTATTGTTTCAAAGGAGATTGAAAATAATTAGTCATTCAATACAATTTTTTTCTTGGTTTCAATATTTCTGTGACATATCTGGATAGATATTTGCACTTCACAATCTATCAAGAGTCAAACAAGATCAGACACAATGCTTTTACAGAAAGTTGAGTTTATAAAAGAGTACCCACAAAAAATGTTAACTTTTTGCTATTGTGTATGGCATAACTCAATAACTATAGCAGCTACGCAAACAATGATTGTATATTTGAAATCTCCATGAAAAACTATATTAATAACAAAATTTTCAAATGTCTATGACCAGAAATTTAAAAAAGTTCTTTCGAGGAGTGTCTTTCCTTGTACGACCATATAGAGATGACGTGCGTGTTTGCACCATTGGATGAGCAGGTGATTGGGCTGGATTGAAGAAGCAAATTGCAACCTGTAATCTCGTGCTGTGTTTAGTCAATCAATGGGCTTTTATTCATAGACAATATGTGAATCTAAATGGAGTCTGATCTCTCTATTAAGAATTATTATTCTCTCTCTATTATTGTTGGCAGAGGGCTTTTGTCCTGCAGTTCAGATATGCTGGTGGCGAGGGATGTTGCAAAGAATGTGCTCATATTTGCTTCTTTTCTGCCTCTTTTCCAGGCCTAAGCCTGTGCCTCTGGAAAAGCATACCTGCTGCTATAAGCATGAAAATGTGGTCTGCGCCACGCCTGCTCTTCCTTATACGAGGCACTGTACAAAGCGTATCCTTGATGAACAACTAGTGCTAATAGTACACGTGGAAGTTGCCATATTCTTGTGTGTTTTGAAAATAGTTAGGCTCGGGGTGTGTGCATGTTTGCTAACTTTATGCAGATATGTGTGAGTTGTACGAAATACGTCTCGTGGTGAATAAGTGTAGCATTATTTAGAGTCGGGGAAGTAAGAAACTGGTCGTTCTTATGGGGCAGTTGCATATCTACAAGATTCTGAAATGCAGTATTGCAATAGCTGCACCGATAGACCAATCCAGCTAAATCCTGCTACATTTCCACTATTGTGTGCCAAAGTGTGGTGTGTTTTCATATTTCTAAGACAAAACTACGAGCTCTCGAGGTCGAAACGCCCTAGCATGCGTCTATCCTTGCTTGCACCACATTGCACCACACCACGCCGTGGCTGTGAGTACAAATAGATTAAAGAAAACGTGTGCACTTGGTACAAAGCTGGTCGGATTACCTTTCTGTTGCACCATAACTTGCTTATATATCGTAAGTCATCAAAGGAATTGCACTGACGTCTGAAAACGTCATGCTGGAGCACCATCATATGAGGGCGCTACGTTTACAATGTCACAATATTCTTATCAAAACATCCCGCACGGGCGGAGAGATGTGCCTGCCATGCTGTTTTCACACAGACGTAACTTGTTTCTCATCAAAGCTGCCATCGTGGATTCTCAGTTCCTTTCAGAAGCTGCATCCGCGACGTCACGTGCAAGCAATTTTGGACTGGCAGCTGCTTCATTTTTTGTGCGGCAGGGATGTAAATTCTCATTCCCATAAATGCCAACTGCAATGCAACTTTATCTGGGCAGAATTGGCTCAGAATGCATATATATGTGTCAAGTAAACAATGATAATGAGAGCGAGAAAGCTTGCAATCAAGAACCCGACACTGCAGCTTAAGAGCCGATCCTGCTGCCGAGCGTAACAAGCTCAAGCGCGGACGTTATTGATGGCCTGTGAAGCTGCGGTGTGCCGATTCCTGATGCAGTTATGTTTGAAGACTTCTCAAACGTCGACAGTGCTGTGTCCTCGTTTGCCAAATCGAACGACGACAACATAATTGAGCAGTTTCTGCAACCGCCTAACAGTGATTCTGACTGATGATGGCGACGCTCCGTGTGCTCTGGAGCTGTGATGTGGGTACCTGTCTCAAGCCCTTGCAATTCTTACGTCGTATTACTTGTGGTCCTACAGCGAGCATACCACACTGGTGAAAATGCAGAAGGACTTGGTCGCACGTTAGCAGAAGTGTGTGCAGTAACGCATTGACAGCTTTTTCCGGTCACTGGGTCACCGAAGTGTCAATAACAGGTTTTTTTCTTTCCTGGCGCATTAGTTGTTTCGGTCATTCGATAATTCAGACCTATGTATGTTCCTCGTGCAGTCCGCATTATTGGTCGTAAACTGTACATGGCCTATCAAATACATGAATACATAAGGATATGTTATATGGAGCGCATACAGTAGTGATAAGGTATGGGCGATATAAAGGTGAGCATTGCTCAGCCTTGTATTACAGCATTGCATCTCAGACACAAACTTTAGGAAGAGTTTCCTGGTGTTGTGGGCCTTGTATGATTCATAATGAATTATCAAATGGTCATAACCCTGTTATACTGATGATGAGCAGATTCTCAATTACATTAAGGGGGCACACGGGTCTTTGGGGCCGAAAAATTGCCCAAAAACGCATTTTTTTTAGATGTCATTTTTGAAATCTACAGGTATTTTTCTATTAGTTTGCTCAGTTTTTCCTCCGAAAAGTTGGTACTTGAACAGTAACAGCTACTTATAAAAGCCGTACGGGCCCGATTTGGCGAGACTCTGACGCCAAAATGGCAATTTTTCAATAATTCCCCGCAGCTGTGCCACGGGCAGTATCGCAGTGATCTAGGTCTCATTTGAAAGCGCGGTCTTCGGTCTTCAATTTTCCGCCACTCTGGCTCCTGTCCGCTCATTGGTAGAGTAGAAAACACGCGCCAAAAAAGCAAAAATACGCGTTCCTATTCGCCGGCGAGCGCACGTGACTAAACAGCGCAACGCGATTGGCCGCAAGCGGCGTGTGTCGTCTGCTTCGCACCGTCGGCTGCGCAGTCAGGCGCCATATTGCTCGGACTGAGAATAACGGATTAGCCAAGGATCGCGCGCGATGTGGAAAGCCGGAAGGAAATTCCACACAAGGAATCAGTACGGCAAAAAAAGAAAGGAGTCGCTCCTCGAGAACTTGAAAGGCCATTCCGCGTCAGCGAGGTGCGCTGAACGAGCAAGCGACCCACCTTCCGTGGCCAGCGGCGAGGCCCCTGATAACATAGGCCTAGCACCTCCGCCGCCGCCCGCTGAAGATAACGCATCCGGCAGCGGCCGCGTTCGTCTTGACACAGCAGTGCTGCACCCGTTAGAAGTGGCAGAGGTGCGTCGCAACGCCGAAAACAAGCTGCTAGAGCTCGCTTCAACTGGAGCAACACAACGCAAGTGCGGCCTGTTAGCCCATATCGACGATGCCGCAGCTACGCCGCTGGACGAAACACGGTTTTTGATCGTGAGTTTGGACCAGGTGAACGAACTAATGCGTGCAGTGAAGTGCAAATTGTGCTCGGGTGATGTAAACATCGGCAAAGAGGACAGGGAGTACGGCCTTGCCGTAAAGCTAGTGCTTACGGCGCGACCTGCGGCGATGTGTCGGTGGCATGGAGCTCGCCGCGCGTTGACGGCGAGAGCAAGGCAAAGCCGTTTGCCATCAATGTTTTGGGCACGCGCGCTATGCAGTCTACTGGCAATCAGCAAACGGCATTCAACGACGTTTTTTTCATCGATGAACATTTCTTCGCGCGGCCTGCACAACAAAACGTGGCAGAGCTACGTGAAGACGAAACTGACGCCCGCAGCTGTTCGTGCGTCGGAAAAGCTGACCGCGGAGTGCGCGCGATCGGTTCGGGAACTGTACGCGGAACTGGACCTCGGCAACCCGGGCAACATCGCTGTGTCGTACGACGGTTCCTGGATGACGAGGGGACACTCGTCGCACATCGGAGTCGGCACAGTTATCGAGTTGTTTACGGGGCTTGTGCTCGATTATGTCGTGCTCTGCAATTTTGTGCCGGCTGCGAGCGGGCGCCTAAAGAAAGTGACCCGTCCTACGACGAGTGGAAAGCGAACCACCACTGCCAGAAAAACAGCACAAAAAAAGCTGGAGAGATGGAAGTGAAAGCTGCCCTCATTCTGTTTCAGAGGTCGTGGGAGCGTCATAAGCTGAGATACACTACAGTTCTTTCTGATGGCGACTGCCGCACCTACCCTGCTTTGAAGGAAGCAGATGTGTATGGTTTTATAAAGGTAACCAAAGAGGAATGTGTGAACCACGTCCAGAAGAGGATGGGCACGCAACTGCGCAATCTCCCCAAGCAGAGGCCAGCTGGCTCTGAGAGCCTCAGTGGTAGGGGGCGGCTGACTGGTGACCTGGTTAACAAATTGACCTCTTACTATGGCTGGGCCATCAAATCTCACAAAGGGGACGTGCCAGCCATGCACAATGCTGTGATGGCCACATACCACCATGTGACGTCCAACGATGCCGTGTCCAACCACAGCCTGTGCCCTACAGGTCCTGACTCGTGGTGCCGCCAGAACGCTGCCAAGGCCAGGGGTGAGCCGGCCCCCAAACACCGCTACAACCTGCCGCCGCATGTCTGTGAGGCCTTGCTTCCAGTGTACGAACGCTTGGCGGACAAGAAGCTGCTGGAGCGCTGCCAGCGAGGCAAGACTCGGAACAGTAATGAAAGTCTCCACTCTGTGATTTGGTCGCTGGCCCCGAAGGAGTGCCATGCATCACTGCACAGTGTAGAAGCTGCGGTCGCCGAGGCAGTGATGAGGTTTAATGCCAGAAGTCAAGTAACATCATCCAAGATCCTCAAAGAGCTGTGCTTGAACCCCGGCCTACTGAGTAGCAAACGCATGGCTGAAAAAGACCGCCGCCGAACCAGGGACTCTACCCTCAGGCGTGCGTCTGCAGAAAATGTGCAGCGGACGCTCAAGAAGCGGCACCTGGATGCCAGTAGTCAAGGGGACTATGCTTCTGGGGCCTACTAGTCATTTCGCTCCAAAAATGTACAGAATGTTTTACCGTTTACATTAAACATGGCACCGTTGTGTTTTTTGCCATTTTCTCAAAATGCATATTTTTGACGTTTAGGAAATTCTTGAGAGGTACATCTCGGCATGCGGTGCAGCTAGAAAGATAATTTCTTTTGCATTGTCAAGCTGAATGTTTAAACCTTGAAGTAAGGGAAACAGATTTTGCATTTCACGTTTAAATAATTGTTTAATTAGCATTGTTTATAACTGGTTAGCAGGCATACTTTAAACCGAGAAATTAGAATTGATGTAAACTTGCATGTGTGATTGCCAGACAAAAAAACTGCTTCCGTCATTTCATTCTCCACAACTTCTAGTATCTATTCATGCCATGCTGGTAATTTTTTGTTGACTAGTTTTTTTTCTATTGTTCTCAAGAACAATCAGGAAAGATTTTTAATTATCTCGGGAACTAATTAGCTTACATCAAAACTAATTGGATATTTGAAATCAGCTAAAGAAACTGAACAAGCCCATGGAGTTTCATTAAAATTAGTTGGAAAGCAAAAAAAAAGTTTCTAAGACCAGTGTGCCCCCTTAATCTGCTCTTTACTAGCACGCAAGTTTCTTTTGTCTCAAATGTTGACACTGCAACCTCCTTGACTATCATTATTACCAGACATAATGTACAATGTGGACCAGCTCCTGTTTGAGCACTGTACTGCGAAATTCGCAGACAACACACAGTGCTGTGTGCCAGTGTTTGACATGTGCCACGAGCTGCCTCTCTGCCCGGAACATGCCAAAAAAAGAGTAAGTTCATGCTTTGAATCCACGAGTGCTTTGATTTCAGTCAGGGATGTTATGCTCCAACAAGGGACAATCTTCGTTGTGTTGCTCATAGCCGATGATTACTGAAGCATATAGGTACTTTACTTTCATCTTAAAAATATTTTATTTGTTTTTATTTTTTTAAATCATAGAAAAGAGTAAAAGTAATTTAAAATTAAACAAAAGTAAAGTTGCTACAAAAACATGGGGATGAGTGTAAAAGGAAACTTTGCCTATTCACGAAATTTCAATACAAAAACGCTGTTATTGGTCAGTATTTTCCAACAGGGTGCTTGCTTTCCTTGGGCTGTTTTCTTGGTCATTTACTTGAGGTGTAGGCTTTTTGGCACTGGACACTGCAACAGTGTTATTGCCGCTGCGGCGAGCCCCCTACCTTTACGATGGTTGTCGGCTGTATACATTGAAGCTTTTCTTACGAAGACTGGCTGTCTCTTCGAAAAGTTAAACTACGTCCAGAAATGATTGCTTTGAAATGAAGTCTTCATGAGCGCTGTACAACTTGCTTGACATGAGCATTTTTAAAGACCGCAACCAATTTATAACATATACTAACAAGGTAATACTAGGTCGCCCACTGGCCCTGCCATCCATCAATTGTTGACTCGTTGGTAATGAGCCGCTGATTTGAGGCATAATTTTTCATTTTGTTTCTTGAAGCAGGTGTCATACCAAATGCTCTGTGTCACCGTAATGTCGCATATAAATGGAGTGTGAATGGGGAATGGTTGCAGCCACAGAACATTACAATAATGTAACAGCAAAAGCGTTGTCAGTCTAAATGTCAACAACAACAAAAAAGTTGTGACTTTGGTTGGCTATACAGTCGACCCTCGTTAATTCAAACTCCAAGGGACCTCTGAATTTTGTTTCAATTATCAAGAAGTTGGATTTATCAGAAGCTCTAATATGTATGACTGCGGTTGAAGTGATACTACATGCTATGATTAGGCATGGATGTAAAAAAATTTAATGTGCTTTTATATCTTGACTGTTCGCAATGAATGGAAAGTAGAAGTGTAAGGTCCACTAGTCGATCGGCCATTTACTGCTGATCAGACTTTTTGAAAAAATTGTGAATTGCCAACTGCTTCTTTGCTATTTGTGCCTTCAGCACAAAGGTCCCTACCAGTTGAGAAGCATCACAGTTTACCATGTGTCTGCTTCGTTTCAAGCATTCATTTATTAGCAAAGTCTTTTTCCCTTCAAGGCCTGAGGGGCTTACTTTTCATGTTTAGACTGTTGGGATTATATACCTGAGCATGCAAATGTCAGGGGCAAAGCTCCTTATGGCGTGGGTCTGTACATCCTCCAATGTATGTAGTAGTATGTAGCCACCGGTGGCACATGTGCCACAGGGGATGCGAGATGGGAAATGGCGGTACTTGGAGTGTTCACTAGATGGATGCACGGACAGATAGACTAGCAGACAGACGGACGGATGAACACTTAGAAATGCTGCACTGCAAGAACTAATCACTGATGCCACGGTTATGATGCATTACTGCTCTTTACCCAAAACACTGTGAGAGGACAATGGTTATGGGTTTGACTCCCAAGGATGGAACTTCTTTCTTTGTCTTCTGATCGTGCATATTTTTTCGACATCGTTTCCATAACAGAAATATGTACTAAAGGTGGACCCTGGCGTAAAACACTTTCGTGTTAAGAAAGGAAAATTCCAGCCTAAGCTACTTGAAATATACGGTTGTAAGTAGCCAGACAGCAGAAAGAGGGAAGTCAGAGGCGATAACTCCCATGGTTGCTAGATTTAGGTAATGTGTCCACATTGCAAGCTTGTGTCTGTGACGTGAACAACACTCGTGGAATGGGCAAAACGTCTAGGGTAGCCTGAGCACACACTAAACATGTTTTCTTGATGACAATGTCGCCAGATGATGCCAAACTCGTATAGGCACTTGTGCCCACTTTCCGTGTAAAAATATGGGCAGTGCTGAAGTCAGAGTTGCATGCTGAGGAATGAAACAACACTAATATCTCGAGTTCAATATTTGGACTGTGATCCTTTTAACATTCACGTTGTAGCATTATAGTTAAGACCGCAGGTTTTTTAACATTGCTTTAAAATGAGCAATTTTAGCAATCTAAATGCAAAGTTTGAAGGGGGTCCGCCCTATGTACGGCTGGACGCAGAAGCCTAGCTTTTGTTTCAGCCACACACAGTTGCATCGTGCGTAATTAACGTCCCCTTTCCGTAGCTCGAGTCATCGCAGCTACACGGGTTGGGGCGAATAAGGCAACAGGCTAGGTCAACAAAACAGCACTTTGTTGCTACGTTAGCAATAAAGCGTAAATGTCAAGTAGAGGGATTGTCTGCTCTAGGAAGATAACTTAGGGTAGGCGCTTACGCCTTTAGTTGTCTATCTTCTTGGCTCGCTGGGGTGTCTAGGGGTTCTCCTTCATTTGGTGGCCGGCGCGAGAGAGAGCGTCTCGCTGTCGGCACGCTCACTTTCCCCACAGTCTCGATTTCCCCTTCCCTGAGGAGGGTTGGTTCCTTCGTTGAGGGAGGGTAACCAGTTCTGTGAGCTGGAAAAGGGGAACAGCATGGCTGGCCGCGGAGTGCCCAGTCTCTTCGCAAGAGGCTTCATTGGCTCTCGAAGAAGCAGGTGTGTCTTCGCAACTAGGCTGCGGTAAAAGGAAAAGGAACGCTGTGGGTGCACGTGCGTCCCCACTGGTTTGACTTAAACAGCCCCTAAAGCGGGATTCACACGAGGGAGCGGAATTCACACGTGACAACGACGTCATGAGTTAAGTTTGTCGACGCGACCTGCTCACGGTTCCTTGGGAGAGGCGGAAATGGTTTCGAGCGGTCAAACGATCCCTGTGCAGGGGGGGAAGCAGCAGAATTTCGGGTGGGTTTCTGGCCACATTGTAGCCCTCTCTTTTGCAGTGCCTGGAAACCGGCGGGGGGTGGCGGCTGTTGTTCCAAATCGCACTCCGGACTTGCGTGCACCGTGATGGTGGAAATGACTGATGAAGCAACTTTTTTTTCTTTTATCTCGTAGAATAATATCATCGCTTGTGGGACATCTCTTTCGATGACTATAGTAAAACTAACCTAAAGGATGGTGTGTGAGAGATGATAGTCAAGCAGATAATGGAGCCCTACCATCTCTATGAAGTGGTATTTAGTTTTCTTTTAAAGTGGTTATTCTATCAGAATTGTGACATCGCCCGCTTTTGTAGTTGTTACTGCTCTGCTTGTTCAGCCTTTATAATTGAAGTAGCTAACATGGTTGCTTGGGCGAGTTGGTACGACATGATTCACAAAAAAACAGCGCCAATAACGAGGGACAAAAAAAGGAGGCAGACAGTGGCACTGACTTACAAGATTTATTTGCTAGAACCGCACAATATATACTTGAGCTGTATTGTAAGTCAGTGCCACTGTCTGTCTCTTTCTTTTCTTGTCCCTCGTTATTGGCGCTGTTTTGTAGCGTTAGCTACACTAGCCTCGCTGAGCCAATTTCGCGTGGCACTGATCTGCGCATGCGCAATGATACTCCGCCGCGCGCGCCTCGCCGCCGGTGTGCGCGCAATTCGATGCGCTGCGCAGACAATCAATGGTGTCACGCACCAGAGCCGGCACCTCCCTCGCACTCGGCCGCGGCTGGGCACGACTCGCCGCCGCCGGTTTGCGCTTTCCAGTGGAGTGCCGTCATAGCCTTGGTAGACATATGGACGCCGACGCGCGCGCCTTCCCTGTGCAGTCGCCATCTGACGCTGCGCTAGAGCCGCTTGATAGTGCCTCTAACTGGCGTTTGCCACTGTGGTATAGCCATGGAGAAGGAGAGTGCAAATGCTGCTCAACGGTGCACTAGAGCGGAGAAGCTTAACTCATCGGATCCTCTTGTAGTTGCCCGGCAAAATAAATATACATGTGCCACATAATACGTATACCGTGTGTGTGTCATTGGAACAGCTGTAAGCATGATGTCTGGAAAGCTAAGAATAATCAGCTGAACCTTTGCTAACGCTACGTATATCCTGGCATAGCTGAGCTAAGCCACTGCCATTTTTTTATGTGAATTATAATGAAACTTTTTAAACAGGCCTCATTACCCAACATTGGATGCCTAAAATATAGGCAGCCGTAGAATTTAAGAGCTGCGTTTTATATTCAGAAACATGACATACTTCACATTTTACTTAATCGGCTGCAGTGGTACAGCAGAATCTTAGACTGAGTTCACATATTGAGGACAGAAGTGGTCTTTTATTAACTTGTGTTTCGAAATTCTAATAAAACCCTTGTACAGATAATTGTCAAATACTAATAGGCTAGATCCCTTCCTTTCTCAGTTGTTCTCGTGAGAGAAATGCTGTTATAGCGTAATTCCTTCGTTCACAGAAGGCCAACCGATATCGAAAGAATTTCGTAGCCGGGAAAAAAAAAAAAGCCGTTGTCAATGATGTTGCCCGGAATGTCGCTTTGGGCGAGTTCGTTTTTCCAAAAAGGAAAAAAGCTTGTGGTGGCGAGTCAAACGAAAGAGAAACGTCGTGTCTGCATTCTGCATAAAAAAGAGACATATAAACAAGAAAGCTTCTAAAAGCAGCAAAGCTGCAGGGGGGGCTGCGAAACGGGCACTTCCCACTAACCACACGAGCACTTTTGTCACCCAAGAAACACCAGTGTTTTCCTCCTTCTCCAATCAAGACACAACGCGACTTTGAACCCCCCTCCGAGACGAAAGCTTGCCAATATTTATGGCTGGGCGTCAAAGAATTCTTCAGTGCTACCGCTTTATTATATGGTGGATGCTCTGGCCACAATGATCTCCCCCATTGTTCGCCTCGTCCGTGTGAGTTAGGAACATTTGGGAGGACTTACCCTCGGTTGTTGACGTCACTAGGCTCCGCCTTTATCCCCCATGTATTTCTCCCTCGTGTGAATCCCGCTATAACCACGCAGATGTCAAAGTTTAGTAGGGGTGTTGCCTTTGTGCATGAGTCTAAAATGAACACGTACTGTATTTACTCGATTCCACCGCGCCCTCGATTGTAACGCGCACCCGATTTCCACGACGAAAAAAAAAAGTAAGACATCGATTGCAACGCGCACCCATTTTTCTCGCTGGCCCGCACGATCACACCACTCGAAAAAACGACTCCTTTGGGGAGCGTCTTCCATTTAAATATGACGTACGGGGGAAGCTTGTGCCCATCTGACGTGTAACAAAGCATTGCCGTCACTGTAGTTTTACCGGGGACCAATGTCACCACGCGAACTTGCTTCGCCCCTTTCTTCTCGACGGTTGTGGTGCCAGGCATGTCGAAGTAAAGAGGCGTTTGATCGGCATTCCCGATTTGCCCAAGCAGGTAGCCGTTGTGCCGCAAGTTTAGGACGAACGTCTGAAAACAAGCTTTTCATCGTACTCCTCTGCAAAACTTTTCACATATGCCCGTTCGCCTTCGAAGGGAAAAGCCTTTCCTCTTCATAAAGTTAGTTAGCCAGCACCTGTTCGCTTTAAACTGGCTCTGCATTAGACCTTTTTCTAAGGCTAATTGCGTAGCCCGCACTTGGAGCAGTTCTGTCGTCACGGGCCGCATCGCCTCTCGCGGTCAAGCACATACTCGCCGAGCAGCTCTTCAGTTTGCGGAAACCGACCCTGCCGTAGTCCACTGAAGCCTTTGCGTGAAGCTTTGCTGTCGACAATCTTCTGCTTTTGTTTCTGCCAGCCCCGCACGCATGTTTCGGGATCTCCGAACAACCGCGATGCGGCCCGATTTCTGTCTGTTTCTGCACACGCGATGAGTTTTTTTTCAAAAGCGGCATCGTGGTGCACTCGAGTTTTTGGAGTCGGCCCTTCCATGCTGTCGACGCTAATTCACTACAAGATGACGAACTCCTCAGCACATGTACGAAGTGCCGCACATGGAAAACACATAGGCAGAAATGGCCGATGCGCCGTGCCGACGCACGTAGGGGGCGGCCATTTTGGAAATGCTGCTGGCAATAGAATGACCGTATCCGTTTTTTTTTCGTACTCAATTCTAACGCGCATGCGATTTATGAACTCGCTTAACCGGAAAAAGGGTGCGCGTTAGATTCCAGTAATTACGGTAGTTGTGAGAATTTTTTGAAACAGTGCCATAGTAGAGGAGTTGCGCACCAATTCTCATGCTATTGAGACCCTCGTTCGTTTCGCCCTTTCCTTCGTCTTCCCACCTGGTCGAGTGCTTCTCCTTGCCGTGCAAAGAGGAAAAGGGGCATGTACAAGTGCCTGTGAGTGGACAAATATGTTTGTAGATGACATGTTGACGTCACGGTGAACACTTTAGGGGACAAGCACTTCTGAAAGGACCAATGAGGAGAAATTGTTTCCTCGAATTTGTGGGGTGCCCGCAGCTCGTAGTGCTGCCGTGTTTGGCTTTGTTGATCGTGATTGCATTCTGAACATGATGTTCACATTTACGTGAAATGTTCAAATATAATTGGAGGTGCACATCTGCCAACACTTCCAAATTGTCCGGGAGACTCTCGAATTTGGACTTAACCTCCCGATTGCTCGAATGTAATCTCAAATCCCCCAAAGAGTGGCCGCCAAAGCAAAGGCCTTTTTTTAATCACGCTTGTAATCACGCCTGCTGCGACAGGTGCGGTGCTGCGGAAAAGCACTCGATACTTCACTTTCAATTCTGTGCAACCATACTGCTAAATATGTATCGTGCGTCTGGGTGAAGGCCGCGGGCCATGAAATGTGCTTGCCATCGTACCATAAGAAGGCGAAGGAAAGGTATCACGACTTTTGCACCTACCTGTCTTGGCCCCCAAATTTTGTACGCTAGCCCTATAAATACGCCGCTGCCTTAGGCGTCAGTTGTGTCATGTGGTTGTGGGGGTCGCATATTTCCCTGAGTACAGTTGGAAGGTCAGTGGCGGTGTCAAAAGCAAAAGAGTACTTGCTTTTGACACCGTTTTATCACAAAGCATGGAAACTCATACCTATCTGAGTTTCCATGCTTTGTGACTTCGCGGAAAGGGGACAAGTATGAATTACGTATCACTTGCGCCTGTGATGTAAGCATTTCGTACGGCAGCAAGGTCGTCTTAAACCGCACATCGCTTCACAGAAGCGTCGGAACTACGTTCGTGTTGTGGAAGAGCAGGGCAACATTGGGAGTTTTTTTCCCAAAAGAGCTGTCAAGGCAGTGAGATCCGTGCAGAGTGACTGTTCACAAGATTTCTTGTTGAAGACAACATGCCGCTGAGCGTTAGTAACCACGCAGGAGTGTCGCTTCGTAAAATGGTCTGGAAGTGTGAGGCCGCGAAGCGGTATGAATGCGGACGTACTAAATGACCTGTCATTTCATTGCTGGGGAAATGGCTGCAGATGCCGAACACACGACACTGACACACCGTGCTTTCGTAATCGCACTGGATGAAAGCAACGGCAGTGGGTCGCAAATGTCGTCTTATTTTCAATTTCCTTTATGTCCCCTCCCCCTGCTGCTGCTGTCTCAAGAATTTTTATTCTGCTAGGTTGCCAGGTATGGATGTGGTTATGGGGGCCGTGTAAATATAAAAAAACTGTGAAATGAACTTTTGCTATTGAACTAAATACATTACTATTGCATGACCCCTTTATTCTCACCCACAGCCGCTTTTCGGGATGGAGTCTTTAGAATAAATGCTTAGTGCATGTTTAAATGTACCATTAATTTTTTGGTTGTACATTTCTCAGTGCGGTTTGGTTTGCCTGTCATATCACGTTTTTCAGGACAACTACGACAAAATGGCGGCTGAGCCCAAACCGAAAAAGCCCCGCAAGAAATCTAAACCTCCTGCGCTGACACGACCTCCCAAACGGGGCAAGAAGAAGAAAAGTGCAGCTGCAGGCATGACATCACCACCTCCGATGGCACACTCTCCATCATCATCATTTTCATCGTGTGTGCCACTCGAGGTGCTCATCCAGTCACCCGCCTCCTCCTCGTCTTCCTCCTCTCCATGCTCCTCACGCTCACCCCCATTCCTTGGTGGCAGTGACTCGTCACCAGCTCTGTTAGCCAGTTTAATGACCCCACAGGGACTGTCTGCCCAAGCGTCTGCAATGACGGCACCACACATAGGTGCAAGTTCCCAGCAACCCCTGCTGCAGATGGTAACGACTGGGTGCCCTGCTGTGCGCATCAAGACAGAGCCGATGTCTCCCGTCATGCTGCACCACTCGCTGCCCTCTTCTTCCACGACACACACGATGCCAGTCTTGACAAGCCACCCCATGCCAAGGTCAACAGCGACAACATCCCACGTTTCAATGGCAGCGGCGGCGGCAGCGCCTCACGTTATGGCAACGACAAGCCGAGCAATCACTGTTCACCACCCACCGCTGCCCGTTGCCACCACTACCACAGCAAGCCAGTTGGTGAGCGCTTCGACAGCAGGCATGCTGCCTGTGGTGACACACCCGTCAGCTACTGCGCACCTGGCAGCTGGTGCACCGGCAGTTGTGCGCCCAGCTGTAGCGAATCCCACACACATGGTGGCACAAGCCATGGTGACAGTACCGCATTCCTCAACCATAGCTTTGGAGCAGCCTGGTGAGTGCCAAGTGAACCATTGTTGCTCTGTACCATAAGGTTACCCACATGCCAGTACCATGGCATTGTGACTGTTCTGTGGCACTATGATAGTTCTTTGTGTTGGCAATGTAGCCGCATGGCCTATTCCTGTAACGCTTGGAACATCATTTCTTCGTAGGAATTTACAGAAATGAATGTATCATTGACAGAAGTGCTCAAAGTTGAACTTTTTATTGAGCAATGTTCTTTAAATGTTATGCCTGTCCTTTAGTACAGTTACTTTTTGGACACTGTTTTTCATGCCGCCAAAAAACTACTAGTGATTACTTAGCCAAGTTTGAAAGGGAGGCGAGAAAGGGAAGGTGGAAGCTTGTGCTGAAAAATTTGTTAACGAGGTGGGTGCTGGAGCAGACGTTTAGGCGAAGGGATTTGTCTGTTTCAAGGCTGCAACTGATTTCCCTAGTATTCACTAGAAGAAATGGCTGAATAAAATTTTTGCAAGTGTGAGTCTGAGCGAGTCCGAAGGGCAAGATATATTTCTTGAGTGAGTCTGAGTGAGGTCCATTGTTTTTTTCCAACCTGTGGTCCTATCCACTGCTTTTCAGCATTAGTATCAGCCTTACCTGGATTCACATCTACTCGCACGTATTCCAAAGTATTACCGTTCAAGAACTTTTTCAAGATTTATAGATCAGAAGCGGGAATTACATAGGTGGTTGCATTGACCTCGCACCCTCCCGTCAATTCTTTCAAAGAAGTTCTTGAAAAATATATCTTATGTTGTCATCTCTTTCAGGAAAAATGTCCTCACTTGTTTTTCGAGCACTCATAACTCACATTTGAAGGTACTATATCATGAGGCATCAAGAAGAGTTCCGACTACGTGAGATATTGTGTAAAAGAGCATTTACACAGAAGTTGAAAAAAAGGCTGATTCTGTACTAATAGCGTGAGTTTGCTCACTCGGATTGAGCCGCGAGTTTGAGTCGGGGCGAGTAATGTCATATGCGACTTCGAGTCCGTCATTCGGGAAAATTTTGGCGAGCCTGAGTCTGATTGAGCTGCAATCGCAAAATATATTTTATGAGTGAGTGTGAGCAAGCTTCGCAAGTTTCACTGACCTATGGGTATGACTGTACATATTTTGTCTCTTGGGGATCGGAGTTGAAAGTATCGAAAATGATTACGTACGTCATGTTACTGTGTTTACTTGCACTGGCTGAAATGTTGTCTACAATATCAAATTTTCATGCTGTCACAAGCAGTGTATTGGTGAAAGAAGACAGCCTGTTAATATTAGATTAAATGGGCATCGTGCGGACACAGCAAAGAAATTACTGAAAGCATGGCACAGCATTTCAATAGGGAGTGTTCGAATAGGAGACCCTCATTGGTTTTGCCTTTTGTGTTGGGTATGCTATTTTTCGACTTTAGGGGAAGCCCCAAAGCTTGCCCCAAGAGCTTTGCGTCAGACAAAGGGGATGGTGCCCGCTGAAGTGACAGCTCTTTGCCAATACTCGAGTAACCTTGAATAGGGGGAGTGTCCAAAGCACGCAGACTCTACACTCAAACCTCATTATAACAAAGTTCTTTCTTACTAGAAAATATGTTCGTTATATCAGAAATTTGGTTATAAAGGTTATTTCCGGCACTGTATATATTATAATGCATTATAATATTAAATTCATTATGCATTTACTTCTGTATCGGTGTCCGTGATATTGAGGTTTGAGTTTATTCGAAAATGCTTAGCTCCTGCTTGACTCAAAGCGAGCGCACGCAATGGGCTTTGGGGCCCTAAACTTATGGGGCCCCTATTCAAGAACTCTTTAGTGTAACAAGTTACAACTTTGACAACCTCAAACACGACATCCTTCGAACTTCCTGTCCCCAAGAGACAGGAAATATTCAGTCATACATTTTTCACAAGTTTAACGCACTCCAGTCAGTGGGTATAAAGTTTCAAAAGGCGCTTGAGTCCATGTGTATGATACAGTGGAAGCTTTACACGACACGTGATGGTGACGGCAAAAACTCTATAGTGTTTATATAATTCCTATCACAAAACTAAAACTATTGTACAATTTAGCTTGGTGTTTGACAAATGCAGCATTGGACAATTGTTGCTTCACAAATGCTGCATAATGCAGCTGCATCTCCTCTGAATCATCTCTCTGGCTGCTTCAGACCTGCTGAAAAAGGCCCTTCTGGCTGCTCTGAGCCAGCTGCAAAAGGCACATTTGCCTGCTTCCAGGACTGCTCCCAAACACATGGACGCTGTTCCACCCTTGTATCAGGGATCATATATATATTTTTTCAGACTTGTTGCATTGAATCCAATCAAAACGCGCGGCCAATGTCGTCTCTCTCACGTGATGAAGCGTCACTTCTGATCACAAAAATAATCGCTGTGTGTTGTTCCAGTCCGAAAGCACTGTGGTTTTTCACTTGAAGTATAATTATGACTGCGTTATTTTTCATGTTAAACTTGTGCTATGACATCAGTGCATTAAATAGCATCAAAAGAAGCCATGAAAATGACACACTTAATTTGTGTCTCAGGGCCCCTTTAAAAACTGTGTTCTCTTGAATGAAAACTTAGATATGTTTAACATTAAAAGATGAAAAGGCAGTAGAGTGTACCAAAGAACAGTGGGGTGGCATGGATAACCCGTGGTAAGTTGGAGTTGGGGAGCCTACATGACGGCTTCCCAGTTGGAGCGCGGCAGAATGGGTACCGAGAGATGGGACGTGCAGCTGGGTATCATTGAAAGTTTAGTGGAGCAACATTTACATTTTGGAGGCATGTAAATGAAATCAGTTTACGCGAAATGGCCTTGGAGATTGATTGTCTTGCAGTGAACATAAATATGGGGTGATGACCTTTCATGTCGAGAAGACCAAATTTCTGTATGGCATGCATTAAATTCTTGCTCGTTGAACAGCAGTAAGGGTTATTATCATTTGGCTTTATTAACGTTTCCAGTTTTCCCTCTTATGACTCTGTGTCTGTATTGGAAACGCATGTATATATAATGCATATGTAAGCAACTGCGAGCTGAGAATGGCATGTCTCTTTTATTGCTCATTCCAGCTGCCACAGTTGTGGGAGCTTTGGGTGCCTCCTCAATGGTTGAGAGTTATGGCTATGTGCCTGTGCTGGCAGCTGCCAGTGGAATCAACTCTGAAACGGTGGCAAAGGAACTTGTGGAAAGAATAGAGCCTGATCTGGCTACGGATCTTGAGAATCAGTTCTCACCAGGTTGGTATTGGACTTGATGGGTGCTGCGATCTGATATATTTGCACAGTAAAGAATTAAATTCTTTTCTTGTTTGTTGTTATTTGGATAGGTGTGAGTTGATGAATTCTGATTAGTTTGCGCTTTATAGATTAGCTGGCTCTGTTGTGGAAGCTACAAGCAGTAACAATTGTGACCTTTACCTCGATACACTCACTGATTTGCTATGCGTAGATTTCCCTGCGACTAAAGTTGTGCACATAGTCAGCATCTTCATTAAGGGAAGTTGGAAGTACCGCAGTCGATTCTAGATATATAGAGCTTGGAGGGGATTGCAAAATAGTTTGACATATCAATAATTCGATATCCCGAATCGTGCCAATATTAGTTCGTAATAAAAACCTGCACACATTTCGGATATTTACCTAAACCTGCTACAAACAGGAGATTACCAATTGATGTATTCAGAAGCTTGGTGTGCAAGCAGAGAGAAGTGCATCGAAAAGCAAAAAAAAAAAGTCATATCGCTGTTGTCATAGGCAAGTCTCTACACTACCCCCTAATGGTCAACATACCTGCCAAGTTTTGAGAATTTCAACCAGTTCTTACGTTTGTACTGTTGTCAGGAAAATCTCCCAGAAATTGAAATTTCTTTGTGTGATCTGGGCGCATTGCCAAAAATGCAGCCCAATCCGATCCAGGCTTTCTGCACTCATCGCATTTTATTCCAAACGAACTTAGGAGGCGACGTACTGTAGAATCCTAATCATGTGAAACCGGCAGATACAAATTCGTGAAATTCCCCCTGCTGAATTCCACAACCTTCATTGGGCCAAAATTTGGATGTTCCGAACGCCTTTTCCCGTAGTAGCAGGTGATATTGAACTTGAGTACCGAAACCGTCAAATGAAAGCCGAGGTCAGCGTGCTCGAAGCTTAGGAAGGATGCGTGCAGCCAGCACACGCACTGTCAGAACTGTAGTTATCGTTTGTTATGGTTTGCTGTGGGTGAAACTGCGGTCGCTCTTATTAACAGGATCATGTATGGTGACAACGCAACTGACTGAACTACGAAAGTGCACGCGCGTCTGACTCTCGACTAGTCAAAGTGACGTTGCTTTTCACAAATGCGGTGGACAAAACCGTGGCAGATGCAATCATAGACTAGTGTTTACTCTGATTGTTATGCTTTTTTTTTTACTATGTACACTCAACCCCTTCTGCAATATATTTATACCCTGAGGGCACTATAAATAAATAAATAGAGAAAGAGCAAAAAAATACTTAGTTTTGAAAGCATGTGCGCAGCCAGTGCACGTGGATTGAAAACTGAACTCGTTATTTCCTGCAAGTGCATCCAAGAAACCGCAGTTGCAGTGACGCAAGTGTCACTAGCGACTAATAGCCGAGGGCACGCGGCTAATGCAGCAGTAGATTAGAGGCAATAGAGAGGTAAGAAAGGCTAGAAGCATTTTGGAGTTCCTCTTTAAATAATCTAGCAACATATGTTGTTCCTGTCGATCTGTGTACTTTGGCTATACTTTGGCATTCAGTTTTCAGTTGGTCTTAAGCCAAACTTCAACCTGCGCTTTCCCCTCTGTTCATGTTTGTTTTAGGAAGACGTATGCGAATCCTTTTGACAAAAATTGATTTCGCTTGTTGTTTTGATGATGCAAAATTTTGGGAAATATGAGTATTTTGCCCACTTTTGAGTGCCTTCTCACACCTTCTGCTGTAGTTTGGAACCCTACCCTTGTTTGTCTGGCCACTTTAAGCCATTATAAGACCTTGACGCTAATGCTTACGACCCCCCCCCCATTTTTTCAACTTTTTAGTTTTCTTTTTGTGCAAAAAGGGAGGGGGGATAAATAAATGCGACCTAACCCCCTCTGTTATTTTGCGGTTTTTTCTTTTAGTGCAAAAAGAAAAACGAGGGGATAAATCAATGTGCGGCCCCCCCACCCCGGCAGACGTCTTTCAGATTCAAAATCCTTGAACATGGCAGGTATAAATGAAGAAAGCGAGGCGTGACACCACCTCGAATGATGAGGCAGCTGCGACCGGCATACCTCCCAGTGATACACCTGTGAAGTTTCTCACTCTTTCCCCTGCCCCTGCTGAACTGGGAACAGTTGAGTCTCGAAGCATAAAAGTCGAGTCTAGTTGACTAGTGAATAGATAAATTGAGCGTTGGTAGACACAAAAAAGCTTCACACACTGCTTTGCTGGTGCTCTGTTATAGGGTAATTCTACGAGAGATTGACACGGGTCGAAAAGTTGATATTTTAGATTTGAATGTTTATTTTATATTTTGTGCACATACAACACTGTAGCCTGAAAGTGCACCTCATTTTTTTTATTAACTGCATAGTCTAGGAGAAAAAAAATATTCCACTTATTTTGTACAGAGGGACCAATTTCGTCTCCTGACGACGACGATATAAAAACACAAATATTAGCTTGATGAAGATTATTTTTCTTTAGCAAATGTACGCATAATGAAGAGTGAAGCAGCATTGTTTGAAGCTGGTGTGCTGAAGTAAAGTGTTTCTGAAAAATGTCTGGACAGGTAACATTTTTAAAAGTTGCTTGATTCGAAAATTTTTTCCTTCTAAGCTAATCAAGCTAGTGTTTCATAACTTAGTGAGCTACTACAACAAAATGTTTATCTGTCAATACCGTGGCTGTACCTCAAACACATAATTTTATAAATGGCCTGAAACTTTCAAATTCGTTGACTGTAAATTCTATTGAAAAATCAATATATAAAAAACCCCATCTTCGATTTTTCTTGAACTCTCATAAAACGTTCCTCACAGATGATAGAAATGATAGAAAAACAATATTCAAGAACATATTACATTATTTTATTTGAAGCAACAATATTACGGGGGGAAGTTCCAGCTTTTCGAACATGCACCTAGGCGATAAAGGCATGAGAAATTGAACTAAAAAATGTGGTATTGAGCTTCTGAGTTATTTGAAAAGGATCATATTTACAGAAGGAAAGCAGATTTCTTAAACGCGAATGACCGTTCGAAGCCCGCCCTTCTGAAATGCATCGATTTGCCGTTTCAAGCCAAGGCTTGAGACCCCCAAGTTTTTGGCACCTGAGTTGCTCACCTCGGTTACATGAGGAAGCTATTACAGTCATCTGCTTTTAACGTTTTGGTTCAGAACACTTAAATGGGAATAGGCTCGCGGGAAGAATCACCGAAGCATAACAAATATTGAGATTTAGTAACGCTGCTGCCGCCTCCTTAAAGGGACCAACTGGCCAGAACAGGTGATTAGATTCCGGTGGAAAAGAAAAGTGCGTGCCCCGCTGCGGTGGTCTAGTGGCTAAGGTACTCGGCTGCTTACCCACAGTCGCGGGATCGAATCCCGGCGGTGGCGGCGGCTGCATTTCCGATGGAGGCGGAAATGCTGTAGGCTCATGTGCTCAGATTTGGGTGCACGTTAAAGAACCCCAGGTGGTCAAAATTCCAGGAGTCCTCCACTACAGCGTCTCCCATAATCATATGGTGGTTTTGGGACGTTAAACCCCACATATCAATCAACCAGGGAAAGTGCGTGATTATGGTAACAGGTGATGACATACTGTTCGCGATATGAGTAGAATTAATATTTTTAAATCACGTTCAAAAGTAACCAAAAGTGGCATGTCGCACCCTTAGTCCAAGAGCCATGAACCACAAATATGAAGTTCTAATAACTAACGAGAATAAGGGCATAAATATGTATGTTGTAGTTGATTTTTGCTTGTTTCTATGCCCGTTACTACGTAAAAAAAGTAGAGCATGAAAATCTGCGCTGCTTTCGTGACTGCAGGAAAACGAGTGCAGTTGCGCATGCGCACGACTGCACGGCGTAGCTCGATTCCTGTCACGTCAGGCGCATTGGAAGAAGCTTGTGAGCTTGTGAATGCGATCGCTGCGGCATGCAAAATGCCGTCGATCTACGGCTTTTTCGAGAATCACTATCACTCATGCATGCTTCTGGTGGTGGCGATGGTGGCGGGCTGTCGGATTTGTTGCTACCGCTGTCATCCTTCGAAGCATGTCGCTCTGGCGCTATTTGATAGGGGTCCGAAATTTGCACAGGCATGCGAGCCGAAATTCGTTCCTTTAACCTGCTCAAGTTGTCAAAAGATGACATATAGAAGCCGTCCAACTACAGCAGCACGTGAAGTGCCATGCGTGAATTGTCAAACACGTGTATACGCGCCGTTTCTTTTCAAAGATATGGCTTAGCTGGACTTGGCTTAAGTCGAAAAAACAACCTGGCACGGCCAAAAGTACTTGCATAAGAAGCCCTAGGAAAGTGCTGTAACTTCTGTAAAATATTTAGCACGCGAGAAAACAATGGTCACGGAACTGCAGGCTTGACAAACATAACATTACGTGTCTGTACTTTTTCACTTTTCATCTCTGCTGCTGTTACACTGGCATATAATCGCTATTGCGATCACATCTACTGTTTGCAGCATGTCTCCTTAAGACTGCATAATCGCCGCAAATAATAAAATTCTGATCATAAATGTTCTATGGCATTTTCCGCGTGGCCATTCTGTGATTAAAAGCTCAGACTGGTAACCTTTTCGTTGCACTCAAGAAAACGGGTACCATAAATATTGGTTGTGGGTCCCTTTAACCTGAACACGGTTTTGCATTTCCTTCCCCGGTCATCTGCTCAACAATTTCATGCGCTAAAGTCACAATTGTAACTTGTGTGAGAGCATTGCACTACGTTCACAAGTGCGGCCACTTCAGCGACCCTCACACTCTCTGTAACTTCAACGCACTCTTGCGGTAAAAGCCCAAGACGTAAAAACGCCCCGCCCCCACTTGTAGGCATTGTATGATATCGTAAGGTTTCAACTATACGAAATGGTAAGAAATCTGTACTTTTAATAAACATAATTTAGTAAAGACTAGCGAAGCACGACACTTCACCCTCCACCTAAGCGGCAAGCTTGGAGTGAATTAAGCTGGCATCTGAAATGATGTTGTAGAAGACCATGTTGCTGAAGAATGTCAAAATGCTCGATGCAAATGGAGATTACCAGAGATGATTCATTATTTTAAGATTGTTTTAGTGCATATTTTTGCGACGTGTTGCAGGCTTGTGTTTTCGGTGCGTTTGGTCAACGTCACCTAACGATACAAATCATGGTAGTGTTTTGTTAGTGTCAAGCACTGCTGCAAGTCATCTGAAAAATTGCAGCGTTTTGAGTACATCACCGCTTTTGTTCAATGCATTCATTCCTCAGCTTAAGAGGGGATAGGGGAGGAGGTCATTCCATGTGTTCATGTACTACCTTCTGTGGCCCTATGCTGGTGTTAGAGCATTTTAATGCATCGTGTTGTCTGCAAATATGTATGGAGTGCCTTAGAGTGTGTCATTATGTCTTGCTCCTCCAACATTAAAGCTGAACGAAGCCCACCAGAATGCGCCTTTACAGTAATTTATTTCTCAGTGTGCTAAATCTGCTTCTCCTCTGAGTATGGTCTTGTTCAAATGACTCAGAAGCTCAAGCCCACTTTTTTAACCCGATTTCTCATGCGTTTATCGCCTAAGTGCATGCTCAAAAAGCTGGAACTTCAACCCGTAATATTGTCGCCGCAAATAAAATAATGCACTGTTTTTTAATATTATTTTTCTATCATCTGTGAGGAACTTTTTATGAAATTTCAAGAAAAATCGAAGATGGTGCTTTTTTAAATATCAATTTTTAATAGAATTTACTGTCAATAAATTTGAAAGTTCCAGCTATTCATAAAATTATGTGTTTGAGGTACAGCCACGGTGTTGACAGCAATATTATAACATTATGTTGTAATAGGTCACTAAGTTATGAAACACTAGCTTTTTCAGCTTAGGAGGAAAAAACTTTCGATGCAAGCAACTTTTAAAAAATGTCACCTGTTCAGACATTTTTCAGGAATGCTTTGCTTTCAGCATGCAAGCTTCAAACAATGCTGCTTCACTCTTCATCCCGTGTACGTTTTCCAGAAAAAACCATCTTCATCAAGCTAATATTGTGTTTTTGTATAGCGTCGTTAACATTAAAAAATGACAGGAGACAAAATTGGTCCCTCTGTACAAAATAAGTTGAATATTTTTTCTCCTAAACTATGCAGTTAATAAAAAATTGAGGTGCGCTTTCGGCTACTGGGTGGTATGTGCACAAAATAAATAATGAACAATCAAATCTAAAATATAAACTTTTCAACCCGTGTCGATCTCTCGTGGAAGCACTCTACAGTATGATACCAGGCTCGAGCATAGTGCATTGAAATGCTTCGTAAATGCAGCAGGCTTCATCCTAAAGATCCCCTAAAGTTACCCTTAAAAATGTACAATGGCTTTGTCCCCCACATTTCTTCATCAAGCTAATATTTGTTTTTATATCATCGTTAACATTACAAAATGACAAGAGAAGAAATTGGTCCTTCGTACAAAATAAGTTGAATATTTTTTTCTCCTAACTATGCAGTTAGAAAAAATGAGGTGCACTTTTGGGCTACTGGGTGGTATTTGCACAAAATATAAAATAAACAGTGAGATCTAAATATCAACTTTTCAACCCGTGTCGATCTCTCGTGGAATCGCCATACAGTGTGATTCTATGCTCGAGCATGATGCATTGAAATGCTTAGTAAATGCAGCAGGCCTTAATCCCATAGATCCCCTGAAGTCACCTTTAAAAATGTGCAATGGCATTGTCCTCCACGTTTCCCCTATTACTGGCAGTTTAGTGTGTGGTGCAGTCATTACCTAGCAGTTTAGTGTGGTGCAGTTCCAACTTTTCCTCTGCCATTAACAAATTTGCACTGCTGCGTATGACCATGTGAAACTTTACCTTTTGCAGACACGATAGAAAAATCTTTGGAGCTGCCACTTGATGCAGCGGAACTGGCCAGCCAAGCGACAAAGCTGCTTGAGGAGCATGATTTCACGGAAGTGTTAAATAAAATCTCCGACGATGCTTTCAGCGACTTCTTTGCAGGTAAGCCCTATTTGGTTGTGTCTTGTTCTCTTCAAACGAAGCAAATAAGATCAAACAGTGTTTAAATAAATAGTAGTGCTGTTACTAGTTCCATTCCTGCAAGTTCTGTACATGTTAGTGAAAAGTCTCTTCAATGCATCTGTAACATGGAATGGCTAGCATGCTGCAAGTTTCATGGAGTTGTAGTTTGTTCAAACATACGTAAATGTGGGTGCTGAGGTGTTCTAATGTAGCACGATGTGACGCAAAGCTTGTGAAAGCATGATACCGCAACTCAGTTGAGCTAAATTCTCGCATATGCCGAACCTAGGTGTGCTTGTTCAGTTTACCATAGACACTAAGAAAGAAAGAAAAAAAGAGCAGAAGAAAAAAAAAGCAGAGGACCAGTACAGGGCTAGTAAGCAGTTGTCTTTCTTTTTTTTGTACATCTGCCAAATGAGCTCCCTAATTTGCACAGGAGGCTGCAGTGATCCGATTTTGCGAATATGTGCTGCACGCCGTGCTGACCCTTCATTTCAAAAAAACAGTTCTCGCTCTTCTTTCCTTTGACTAACTAATGCTCCTTGTATGCACAGTGACAAATCTTGCCCCTGGGCAACATTACGCATCTCTGAACTTGTCGATTGGTCCTTTGCACTACGAAACGGTGCCTTGGTCTTGTGGCGATGCAGTTTTGGTTGTGCGGTCCAGCATTTCGTTTTCTGTTCTGCCCTCTGCTGTTTGTGTAGCGCCCGACATTACCAGGAGATGCGGTATTGGCAGAAGGAAAGCCTCCAAGATTAAGAGGCGTCCGCTTGTTTACTACCGCGAGGGGAAGGGTGTTCCTCATACCACCATGACGCGTGCTCATCTGGGGGAAGCACTGCTCGTTTGTTGGCTCAATGCCGATAACGAAGTGAGCGAAGTTGCAAGAAAGGGCTACAAGGTGGGAAGGACAAATGAAAAATTGAAACCAGCCAACATAGGTCGTTCTAAGCCCTGTAACTTCCTTACTACAGCACTTATTCGCTAAGTTCTTGCGGCAGGGTGTTCACATTCCACAAGTGCACAGTTTTTCAACAGAAATTTCGGACCGTGAGGTTGCTTACTGGCCCTTAAAACCTTACACGTGCTCTGCTGTTAAGACAAACTCTGAAGTGCAGCAGGTGCTCCAATTGCGCCAATTCGATACAATTCCTCATTTGTGCGCTGAGCAGCACCAAGACCAAGAAATTTTCTAAAATTGCGGCACGCTGCGCCAAAATGCCCAACCAGTCTCAAAATTTTTTCAGTTGCCCTAATTTGAGCGAGAAACAAAGGCCAAAGACACTTAGTTAGCGGGACATATGAATTTCCTAGTCAGCAAATGCGGCCATGTCATGTTAGGAACCATTAGGAACTAAAGTTGGAAGCGTACAAACTCTCAGTACGTCCAGTTTGTACGCTTCCCGCTTTAGTTTCTTGCCATGGCCACGTTAGTTGCCATAGAAACTCTATTGCCGATAGATATCCCGTGCCGTCGCCAGGCCGACAGGCGCATGCCGTTGTTACTTTATCTTGGTCTTGTTCTAACCCAAGCAGAAACACCGCTCAAGCCACTTTCGCTGCATACGGGTGGCCTGCAGGAAAGCGTTTCCAGATTGGATGGGGGCTTTATGCAGTAGTTTCTAGACACAGCACACTTTGTTCAATTACTGATGCGTGTATATGTCGCACATTTGTGAGTAATAATAAGATAGCTGATTTCTAAAAAGGTTTTTCTCGAAATCATTTGGCATTTCTGCAGCCGTAAAACATTTCTGCAGCCGTAAAAAAAAAAAAAAAAAATTAAACAAGACTGTGTACCAGCTTTTTTTTTTTTTTTTTTTTTTTCAGTTTTACAAATATTATGGTCACCATCTTTGGAGATCTACATTTGAATCCTCAGACCAAACAATTTTACAGGCATAGCGATTTCTCATATGGACCTTATCATTGTTTGCCGAGGGGGGTGATAAAATAAAATACTACTTTTGTTGAAATAACAGAGCTCATATTCATTCTGCATGACTTAAGGAATGTTGAATGGCTTGTACATATTGTTTTTTCTAAAACTGCCTTTTTTCTCAAACGCTCCAAATGTGTTCTTTTGTGATAAAAAATTAATGTGATAAAAAAATGAATGCTTTCCCCCCTGTAACCTCCTCCAAACTTGGATCTTATTGCTCCAAAAGTAACATTTTTCTGCTCCAAAAATTGGTCCAATTTATATTTTGGCTGTTGCACCCCTGCAAGCTTTCTCAGTGATCACCACTGCTGATAATTCTCTGCAGTAAAAAAGGCATATGTCGAAATTTGGCAGTTAATTTTGTGGAAGGTACTGTTTCACACAAGTGCCAGACAATATTTGTAGACTTGGCTTAGAAGGTAATTTGCCTTATCTAAGTTAAGTGCTTTAGTATGTTTGCATTTAACTGCACTCTGAGGAAAGCACATTGTTTTCGCAGAAGCGAAAAATGGTGAGTATGTGCCGAGCAAGGAGGAAACGGAGGAGTTGGAGAGAGCCCTGGCAGCTGTCTCCAAGGACGTATCCATGGCACGCGAATCCCTGGCCAAGCTTTCAGCCGCGGGTGCGGGACAGGGTGACGTTCCCGATTTGCCCGACCTGGTGGATGCCTTCCCAGACTTGCCACTGAGCACGAGTGACATCAACTCGCTCACTCAGGCACTAATGGGTGGCGAGGCCCTGAGAACCGTAGCCCTGCTGTCCTCGGCCGACCAGGGTTTTACACTGCTTGAACAGCCTACATTTGGACCCCAGCAACAGGCCGCTGCTGTGAATGCAGATGCTGCGGCCATTTCGGCGTCAACTGGCAGTTGGCTTCTGGGTACATCGTCGGACTTTGCCACCTCCTCGCCTGCCACGACCCCTGAAGTGCCCGCCCAGGGGTCCAACGCTGCGGCCGTGCTGCCCAAACGTTCGGTGCTAGCTCAGGAGTCTGTGTCCTAGCGATGAACCGGGACACTCCGCCGCTTGCCCGGGCCCGAGCGTTTGCTGGAAGTGTTCTTTTCTCCGTGGTGGTCCAACAAGTGCAGCCTGGGTTGGGACATGCTCCACCTTCTCTGTCTGTCGCCAGGATGGCGCCAGTGGAAGCCGCAGTACAAAAGCCCATGCCAGTTGGGTTTTCTCTTCTTCCTTCGCATCCCGTGGCAGTTGAGAGCCGCTATTGCATGGCACACTGGAAGCCACCTACGAGGGTGGTTCTCCGAGACGTGATCAGGGCAGAGGCCGCTGCTGCCAGCAAGCTTTTGAGCAGAAGCGTTCTCCTCGGGCGGTGTCGCACACGTACCTGTTCCAAAGGGTTAGGGGTAGGGGGGTGCTTGTCGTGTTCTCGTGGCGGCTCTCCCTAGCGGGGCAATGTCGCTGTCGTCTGGGAGTCCCGTCCAGGGGCTGGCAGCTGTGGCTACTGTCAGCCTCTCCCTCCTTGTGCTGTCGTGCTCAATTTCTCGTGCATGTGTGGTCTCTACTTTCAGTTTTTACTTTTTCCGTGATGTGACACTAAGACTCCTTGAGAAGAAATTGCTAGGGAGCGAACAGGAGCCGTTAGTCGTAAATGAGCATGCTTTTGTGTTTTGTTTTTCTCGTTCATATCTTCTTGGCCATGTACAGGTTTTTGTTTGCAACTGTCTTTTTTGCGTCATTCTCATTGTCCTCTGCAAGTGTTAGGTAGCGTGGTTGTATTATAACTATTGTGTATTATAGGTACCCGCTGCTCATGCTTTTTTGTTGTCATTGTTTTCATTTGCTGTGGTGATAACATTTTTTTCTATCAGTCCTCATGGTGTTATCGATGTTGTCCACTACACTACAAAAACAAGATTTTTTTTTTTTCGCATACTGGCAGGAGTTTTGTAGTGTTAGTATAAAGCATTTTTCTTGTGGCAGGAAAGAGATACTGTTCTGTACCCTCCTTGGTTCCTGGATACGAACAAACACACAAACACTGTTCTTGTACAGCTTTTGTTTAGTGTGCCTCTGGCATGTGTTGTTGATCATGACATTGCTAGGAATGAAACATGGCGTCTCATCAGTTTAGGTCATCTTAGAGTGGGAAGGCCTTGCACTGCCTGTCGCACTCTATTATCATATTCGTTACACCATTGTGGTACCTCCGTTATTTATATATATTTCATAAAATATAAAAAAAAATGATAACATTGAAAAGTGTGGCACCATTGAAGCCTGTATGAGACTTGAGAATGGAACAGCTCGCAATATGCATTTAGGTAGGGTATGTCCACACTGCCTAGCCTGGCACTGCTATTGGTTCATTTGCGCTGGTGCTTAATGGATTTAAAACGACGGTGCATGCAAGAGTTGGGAGCCCTACTCGAAGATGGAAGAGGTGGTGATTGCATGTGGGCAACTAGGAAGTACAAGCCCCGCTGCTTTCATGTAGGGGCCTGTGCCACTGGGTGTCGTGGTTTCGCGCAAGTCCTGACGGGGAGGCACACTCTCTCCGTTACAGGGGTAGCTTTAAGTAGCTGGTTTCGGGGGTTAGTTGACCACTGTACCGTTTTCGAAATGGTTTAGACAAACTCTCGTAACCCTGAGTGTGACTGTTACTTCATATCAATGTGCAAGCAGCTTTCATTAGCAATCTGGGAAAGGAATCATGGAACAGCTCGTAATAGTACGCTAACTTGCTTTAATTCACTGCTCTGAAGCACTTCCCTAAACGCATTGTGTTCTTGAACGGGTATACATTTTTTCTTTTGGCAGTACAGTGCAATGCGTTGATGCGAGCAGGTCGAATGTTTCCACCTGTGATGCGTTTTTTTTTCCTTTTCCGATTACTAGTAAGCACGTTTTAACTGAGTTGGCTTCTAGCAGTTATTCTGAGCACCTTGCCAGCAATTTTAAGCATTTTTTTTAAACAACCTGTCACTTCATTGGGGTAAGGTGAATCCAAATGGGCTGGTAGCAGCTTCGGAGTCTAAAATTGGATTTGTATCAATAAGCCATCCCAGCGGAATAAATACTCCTGCAACTTATGTTGTACCTTTGTTGCATTGTGCTCATTTCTCATTGTCTTGCAATTTGCCCTTTCTGCGTCCTATTACTACAGATGCTTTGGTATTCATTATGCAAGTGATCCTGTGAAAAGGATAGCCAAAGCTTCTGGACAGCCACAGAATTCTTTCAGTAATTTAAGATGAATACAGTGACTTATTTGTTAGCTTTTAATATTCCTGTTAGTTATAACAAGTATTATTCTTGGGGGGTTTAACGTCCCAAAATCACCATACGATTTTGAGAGATGCCATAGTGGAAGACGAAATTTTGATCACCTGGGGTTCTTCAACCCTTTCAGCACTGCGATTTTTATTTTGGTGAATCTTAGTAGGTCAGACGACTAAAAATTGGGCCACTGGTGCAAATTTTTATGGATTAATGAATATGGCATCAAATTAGGTCGTTAGGGTTCAGTGGGTGTCAAATGATGAAAATGGCTTTTTTTTTTATTCCTGCTACTCACTAGAGCACACAAAATGTGAACCGATGTCTTGTGTGTCAGTGTGATACTCATTGAAACAACTTTGGTATGCTGTCTTGAAAATGGCCCTTGCCTTCCTCAGCTTACGCGTCAACGCTTCATCCTAGACTTCGGTCAAGATTCTTTGTGGCCCTCCAGGTCCCCAAACATGATACGATTTTGACATTAATTGCAGCGGGGCTCATTGAAAAGTATTCCCTTAGGAATTGGTTGTTTTGGTATCATTTCCAGGGTGCTAAAGGAAATGCGTGCTGGTGTCAATTGACACTACTAGGGCCGAAAGGGTTAACATTCACCTAAACCACAGAGGAGGAAAGATTTAGGAGGTAAAACTCTCGTTAGAATGGGCATACGGAGGGGTTCAGATAATGTCACATAAAATACAAAAATACCATGCTCTGATGGAGACATTTCAGTTGGCAGCGCCTTGCAACGCAGGCTGCAGCGACGAAAAAGAAACGGAAACGCTACCAGCCGAGTGCAGCCAAACGACCTCCGCAACTGCAACGGAACGCAAGCAACGCACAGCCGGTGCGTTCGGAAACCAAAACGGCAGCGATTCCCTTTTCTGTTGCAAGATGCCTGCAGCATGAATTCGCTCTCCGGTAATGCGACATTATCTGGTTGCATCAAAGAGCGGAGTTGACCTTCTAAATGTTTTCTTCCTCCATGACATAAACCAAAGTTCACAGGCCTGAAGTATTTTCCCCTCCACCGAAAATGTGGCTACCGCAGCTGGGATTTGATCCTGTGACCTGCGGGTCAGCAGTCGAGCACAATAACCACCGTGGCGGGTGTTACTGTTAGCTGGATATTTCACACAATTCATGTGGTTATGCTACTGCTGCTGCAATGGGCCTCAGGTTGTCTGAAAAAAGCTACTACTTATATAAAATGCCACAACCTTAGACATACGAATGGCCAATCGAAGTAATATGTACATGCCGCTTCTGATAATCTTTCCAAACTCTGTCTGCACTGTTTAATTTTTTTGTTAGTGCGTCTTGCCAAAATTCGTTGAAACCAACTGCAAAGCGACAGTAGATGCACCGCCATGCTCACCTGACTCAATTTCACAATAAAACGAGAGGTGCGTTGGGGGCAAACCGCTTGAACAGACGCACTAGGCATCACAGCAGACAGAAAGTTAAGTGTTTCTCACTTAATACTGTGTTGTATATTCTATAAATAGATATTGCATACTTTTGAGGGCAAACCAAAATATTTGTTTTGAAATGTTGTGAAGAATACTTCATGATATCTTGATGCTAAATCTGGAACGCAATGGCAGAGCAATGCATACCCTGGTGATTAAATTTGTTTAGATTTCATTTCTACTGCCCGGTCATAAATATCATTTGCAATAAAGTTTGCATACAAAAAAAAATGAAGCAAGTTTCAATTTATTATAATTTCATATTAGGTACTTTGTTTTACACTCGGAAAGAAGCGTCGCAAATCTCAAGAATGTGATCCATTCGAAGCAGATTTGAAGCCTGTACTTCCCATCATTCCCATGCGGGTACAAGCGCCACTGAAGGAGCCCGCTTAGCGCCAGATTCCACTCTAGGTATTATGTATGAGACTCTATGCCCTGGCCCCTTCGGGTTCTGTTCGAGTATACTGTAGTACAAAATGACACACTGCCTCTGCTACTACCTGCGAAATCGTGTACTGAAATGCCACCCATCTGGTAAGAAATGCCATGGCTCATTGCTTAGTACATGCATATATATGCACAAAATTTGATTTTTCCAATACTTGTGCAGTACCTTAAGAACATTCAAAAAGTGCCCATTTGTGTGACTACATAGCTGAGCATTTTCTCTTGTCGTCTTCCCAAAGACTTTATTGTACAATTCCTTTCTTCATGTCTACATATGTGCTGGCAGCATTCTCAGACATGCTATACCAGCAGGGAAAGTAATTCAATGCACTAAAGAAAAAAAGCATGTTAGTGCACAATGGAAGTATCTTGCACTGCATAGGTGAACTAGCTATGGCAACAAACACGCTGAGCAAGCCACTCGTGTTACTTGCAGCATCTGGGGACAACTGGAACGTTCAGTTCTCTTGTTTGTGTCGATGCGTATACCAGAAATTGGGTACTTGTAGCTGGAGGGCTACAATGGGGCGAAATGCTTTAATGAATGAAACTCGACCAAAGAGCAGTGAATCTATGCCTGCTCCAGCTCGACGAGAACGCCCCCGCAATCCTTTGGGTGCAGAAACATGACCGGTTTCCCATGCGCTCCGATGCGCGTCTTGTCGGCCAGCATGCGGATACCCTTCCGTTTCAGGTCGGCCACGGCTGCCTCGATGTCGTCGACTTCCAGGCAGACGTGGTGTGCGCCGCCTCCCTTGTTCTTGTCCAGGAAGTTGGCGATGGGGCTCTTGTCACCCAGGGGCAGTAGCAGTTCGAATTTCGTGTTGCCCACGTCGACGAACACCGTAGTCACGCCGTGCTCATTCTGGGGCACCGGCTCGCTCACCTACGCAGTCGTTAATTGCCCAATCAATCAATCGTTGAAGAGAAATTGAATTTTGGTTTCTAACGTGCCGGAAATTCCACAAAATTGTGAGGCATGCCGTTGTAGCGCACTTTTTAACAACCTAGGCATGTGTAACAGAAATCGAAGCTTGATACACGGGCGCTCTTGCAATAGGCCTTGCTACCGAAATGCGTTCGTAACTGGGAATAAAACCCGCACCTTCGTGCTTACCGAAGGAGTACAATAATAGTGCTTATTTCGAAGACACTATGACATTGAGCGGTCTTTCGCAATTGATCACTAATCTGCGAAATGTGCGCGAGTTCTCGGGAAAGTAGATAAGACTTCGTCAAATGCAATTATGCGCTTTAACTAATCGGACGTGAACACGCATTAGACAGCCGTGTTACCTCACCTGAAGTCCTAGGGTGTCGCGGTAGAAACTGGCGACCTTTTCAAGTTGGAGGGTAGCCATTGCAACGTGGTTCAGTTTCAGGATCTTCCATTTCTGTCGAGTAATTGACGAAGTCTGCAGCGATCGCACGACGGGCCTCCCGGCAGCCCGGACGAAGGCTCCAAGCAGCGACTGCATCGTACTGTGAAATCAAGTTCTTCAGTTTCGAATGTGCATACCTACGCGCGCGACACGTAGTGCCACAGTTGGAGGAACTTACCTGCAGAACTACTATTTCAGTTGCTCAATTCTTTCGCTCCGTCAACTAGAAGCTGGTCTTGCACGGCCAGCTCCCGCTGTTTCCTTTGGAGGTCGGTGTTCTTCACAAAACTGAAG